GCTATAAAAACAAAATTGTGACTATTCTGGGACAAGTGGCCCCGGAAGGGCACAAGCCATAACCTGAAGACACCCAGGAAGAAGAAAAGAGGAAGTAAAAAGGATTTCTGCCTCTTCTTCCCCAGTAGCACTAAAGAGACCCAACACGGAGGGTGGCTGCCTAGTGGAGCAATACTAGCACTGCTCCTTCCTGCAAGAGCCTTACTTCCCCCGTGCTGCCTCAGTCGGAAGGAGGTAGGAAACCAACCCAATTTCTCTAGACCTTTCTAAAGCAGAGTCTCCACTATCAGCAAGGTTTTTAAAAGGTGTCATAACCATAGTTTAGAAGTGAAGTGTCCTCCAAAAGCTCACTTGTGCGACAATGCAAGAAGGCTTGGAGGAGAAATGATTAAGGTATAGCCTTAACCTAATCAGTGAAGTAATCCCTGATGGGATTAACTAGGTGGTGGCTGGAGGCAGGTGGGGTGTAGCTATGGGGTATATATTTTGTATATGGAGAGTGGAGTTTTTTCTCTCTTCTTCTTGATCATCATGCGAGCTGTTTCCCTCTGCCATGATCTTCCACCATGATATCCTGCCTTACCTTGAGCCCCGAGGAATGGAGCCTGCTGTCTATGGATTGAGACCTCTGAAACTGTGAGCCCTTAAATAAACCGTTCCTCATCTATAGTTGTTCTGGTTGGGTGTTCCAGTAGCAGTAAAAAAAGCTAACTAAAACAAAAGGCTATCTAAATACTTGAATGTGAAAACTTATATCTTCTTACTGTCCAGCCAAGATCCAAGAAATAGCAAGCTGACTTTTAGAAATGAATCAGGAATTTCCCTGTGTGGGCAGCAAAAAATAACCAACTGCAGATTCTCAGAGAAACCTTCGACAAGCCGGGTGGATGAGGAACAGATGAATCCTGTGGTAGAAAAAGAATACCACCAGCAGCAGCAACGGAGACAAGAGGTGGAGCACACTGCAAGGAATGGTGAAATTGTTGGAACTGAACCTAGACCTGGAAACAAAAATGATTCCCAGCAAGAACAAGTGGAAGAAAATAATAATGAATTTATTTCATTAGATGAGGAATTCATAGGAAACCCAGAACATGTGAAAAATGCAGAACATGGTGGCAAACAAGATGAGGAGGATGTGAAGAGGACAAGGAAATGGACCAGGAGAGTGATGATTTCCACCTACTGAATGTAGCAGAGAATATGAACACGTACATACTAATAGTGTCACAAATTCCAGGGCCAACTCTCCTTCCCATTCTATACAAAGACAACAAAAATGAAAAGAAACTAGGAAGATGGTTCTGAAGATTGCTCCTTTTCTTTGGGAAAGAAACCATGCAAAGTTTCAGAGTATACAAGTACCACAGGGCTTATTTGATGTTCAACAACACCAACAATTTTGGGGAACCTGAGAGTGATCAATGGCCAAAGGAAACAATTAATTACATCTCTCCAACCTCCTACAGGCATCCTGTATGGCTGAAAGGTTTCAGGTGACATATGTACACACAGTAGTTGAGATGCTTCATTTAACTACTGCCAAAAATAAGGGATTATTTGTCCATAAAAAAAGAATTATAATGCACCTATAATCTTTTTTCAAAAAAAACAGGAGACCTACAAACAGTATGCCTAAATATTTTTAAAAAGAGAGAGAGAAAGACATACAACACCTATGTCATAACAGAGGTATTGGTGCACATTTGTAATCCCAGTGACTCCAGAGGCTGAGGCAAGAGGATTGAAATTTAGAGGCCAGCCCTGGTGATTTAGTGAGACCATGTCTCAAAACAAACAATAAAAATGGGTGGTGATATATGTCAGTGGTTAAACCCCTTGGATTCAAACACCAGCACCCCAGCCCACCCCCCCCCAAAAGAAAACCAGGACTTAGACATACAACACTTCTAATTCTACCATCCCCAATTACTCAATGAGTGCATTCCAGATATCTGCTTTATACAACCACCTCCTAATTACCAACTCCCTATCAAACAACTCAAAACAATCGGATTGAGGCACATGCCCACATCCCAAAAGGATTGTGCAGAAGTGCCAAAGTGACCACTTGTCAGTCACAGTGAACTCCAGAAAGCTCATGCCTGCTTACCCTAAATCTACCAATTACAGCTCCACACATGAAACCTCCCTAACTTATACCCTGGACTTCAATAAAAAGACCTTTGGGTCTTTCTCTGTGTCTATTGCTTCCCACAGGATGGTTGAGTGTGCATGTCCTAGAAGACTGCACCCATCCTGATGGCCCTGCAAAGGGTGCTGTAATTTCATTTTAGGATTTCAAAGTAATAAAAACTATTTGTGTGTGTGTGTGTGTGTGTGTGTGTCTGTGTATGTTTTACCTCCTCACAGTCTTGCCTGATTGAAATACCACAATCGAATTCTCTTCCTGTCCAGGGCTCTCCCAGAAAGTGGCTATCTTAGCAGAAATAAACTGGACAACAGAATTTTCAAGTTGACAAGAAGGGCTCCCTGTTACTGAGGACATATGGCCATCTATCTCTCTAGAGTGACAGGACATAATGTCAGTGACTGGGGAGGCTGATGCAGGAGGATGGCAAGTTCAAGGCCAGGTTCAGCAATTTAGGGAGACCCTCTCTCAAAATAAAAACACAAAAGGGCAGGGGATGTGGCTCGGTGGCTAAGTGCCCCTGGGTTCAATCTCAGGTTAAAAAAACATTAGCTGGGATGCACTCCTTCAATCCCAGGAACATGGGAGGTTGAGACCCTAATGTAAAGGCCTCTACTAGGCTCCAGTGCCTTCTAACTTAGAGGACCTTGTGCATGCTTGCTGAGCACTCTGCCACTGAGCTAAATCCCCAAACTCTTAGTGACTCAAATTAAAAAGTGGGAATATGTTATTGTCACTCCTCCCAAGATCCCTGAGGATGTTAACAAACTAAAGAAATATCAAATGCCTGTCCAGTGCCCCGAACCTATGGTCTGTGCTTAGGTGGGCTTGTGTGGCCTTGCCAAACAATCCAGCCATCCTTGCACTACTGTAGACTGATCCAAACACATTTGTGGTTACATGAGAAGCTTCTAATAAATGGGACCAATGGGAGACCACCACCCACAGCTGGAACTACTGAAATCCTAGGAATATCAGGGAAACACCAAATAGAACAGATAAAAATATTTGTTTTGCCACCTAGAAATACAACCATTTGAATGATGTGACTTTAAAAAGTGTGTTAGGGGGGCATAGGGACTAAATATCCTGCTATGTGTGTGTGGTGGGGGATCCCAGGGAAAGGAAGATTCCTAAAGACACTGGGTCCCATCTGCCTCCCCTGATTCCTCTTCTAAACCCAAAAGAGAAACTAATAATCAGTGCTTTAGGTGGGTGGAAACCTAAACTACATTTTCAAAAAGGGAAAAGGATGTTGCTTAAAGAAGCTACAGATCAATGAAAAGAAATAAAAAAGAAGAACTTTGAACTTGGCACACACCAAGTCCAGGTCTAGTAAGCATAATGTTAGTCTGGAGATTACTTATTAACCTACAAAGACAAGACTACATAAAAGACAAAATGAAAAGGAAAAAGTTATAATGAACACATATAATTTTCAATATAAATGCATGATAAATTGAGTTCATGTAAGAATGAAAAAAATTAAGTAAAACAAATTTCCATATTTTTATCTAATTAGAAATTCCAAATTTATTTACTAAGCCAGATATAGTGGCACACTTCTGTAATCCCAGTGACTTGAGGCTGAGGAAGGAGGATTCCTTAGCAACTAAGCAAGACCCTAAGCAACTTATGGAGACCCTGTCTCAAAAAAAAAAAAGGCCTGGGGATGTAGTCAGTGATAAACTGCCCTTGGATGAAATCCCTAGTACAAAAACAATAAAAACATCAAACTATACTAATTTCTATACTAAATATTTATGTAAGAAAAGTGCTGATTGGCTTTTGTGCCTCCACAACACAGATTACTGCACCAACTGACAGGAGTTTATGAGATTAATCATCCTGGGGCTCAAAAGTTTTATATGGATATTCCATGAAATATAAACAATCTGCTATCTCTAATGTTCTATAATGTAGAGAAAAATGGATATGCCTGCCTTAACACCTGCCTTTCCTAAATTTCCCATTGTCATAATGCTCACTGTTGTACAATTTTCTATATTGGACATAAATAGTTTTACACAATGAATAATAATGTTAAAATAAGTCTTTGGCACTTATAAATTGGTTTGATGAAACTGAATCCCATGATCCCTCGGTTAAAATAGTTAATAGCCTCACAGATACCCAAAACTAAAGCAAATTCACCTGACCATCCACGTGTTCTAAGGTCACAAAACAAGGAGGTAAAAGGACATTCCCTACCCCCTCAGGATTTACAGACATTACTAAGAGACGAGTTTCCACTTCTCAGAATACACAATTTAAAAAGACATCCAATAGAGTCTTCATGCCCCCTGTTAGGTCCTAGAAAGCTGGCTAAATTGAGAGAATTAATGGTCTCAAATAACTTCTTGTCAGATTCAAGTCAGACAAATGGCAACTTCAGTGGGTCTCCATCTTCCTGCAGGAATGAAGCTCTCTTAATTTAGTTTTCTTGGGTGTATCAAATCTCCACCAATGTTAAAAACTTTCCCATGACTCGTTCCTTGTATTTAAAGGGGGATATGTCATGCCTCTCTTCCTTTTCCACAACTCCTGCTCTCTATATATGGATTCATTATATATGAGACACTTAATAAGGTTTACATTTTTTTTTTTTTTTGTATATTCTATCTTACCCTGATCCCATGAAGGCTGGAGGTCATACTGAGTTTGCAAAATCTCCTAGGACCCATTAGCCACACATTATCTCATGGGTCAGGCAGCTGTTCATCTGAAATGGGATGCACTTAGACCTTAATTTCTATACTCCCTTGTTGAGAGCTATCCATGGACTATGTGTGGACCAAATTGGCATGGAAATTCATTGAATAGGAAAATGTGGGACTTGGGAACTTACAGTGGCAATCCCGCTGGTAAGATTGCCCAGATAGATGTGAGTCCTATTCAGCTCTGCCAGGTCCCACAGAGCTCCAGAGATGGGGTGACCTGCTGTAGCCACACAGCTTCTCAGAGATGGGTGTGATCTGCCAAGATGCCAATCAACCTGTTGACTGTAAGACATCATGAAGCAAGACTCCACCCCTGATACCTTATCCCTGCCTTTGATGACCCCCTTAAATAAACCATCAGAGCCATTTTTTAATTGTTCAGCTCCAGCTCCTGTGTGGGCTGGACTTATCAGGCGCTCCATGCTTCCTAAAACTATAATTCTGACTTTGTCTTACTTATTTCAGACTGTATTTTTTCAGTTGGCTTATCCCCCTCCTGGGCAGGAGAAATTACCCCCAGCAAGGTGCTGGCAGCCTTGCGATATTCCCCGAAAAGAAATTCTTAGGTAAACCTCAACAATTCTGTTGATTGTTGCCCTCATTATTATTGGATGGTTTCAATACTTTTGTTGCTTTGCAAGTTAGAAGCCCACATGCCTCAAAGCAACTCATCTTTTCAACCAGATATGGCAAATGCTGAGGCTCTTTATGCCAATCTAGTTTAGCTAAGAAAGGCCCTTCAGCTCTACACCTCAACAACTTATGTTACCAACCAAACTGAAAACTGAACAAAGGCCCACAGCAGTTTGCCAAATTTTGGCTTAATGCTGGATCTACAAACTTGAGTCTTAATATTGTGATTTGCAAATGACCTAACATGCTACTAAAAAAAATATACCCAAATCAGACCAAGTGATTCCAAAGCTGTTTGCAAATAAACTCCTTTCATCACCATCTGGGCAAAACCTAAGAGTATTGTTAATGTGTATGTTTGGTCATATATTCTTGGGAATTTAATTGTCTCAGTGGAGCTCTGCTATGCATGCTTAAGTCACAATTGTGCATGATGTACCAAAAAGCTCCTTGAATTAAAAGATACTTGGAAAGCCAAGATACCAGGAACCACATTGCCTTCAAGTTATACAAGCAGATTAAACTCATTATAACATCATAAAACCAGACACATAAACAAAATATGATCCCTCTTAGCTTGAGTTGGTATCCACTTGGATAGTCCAATAGCCATAATGACATTACCCGCCCAAGAGCTCACTATTGAAGATGACTTTGCACAATGCAGCAGATATAACTTTATCCTGGATGTGAACACTGGCTCCCAACAAGGTCCTTGGACTACCTCTCTTAAGACAAAATTGGATACATGACATTATTTTATTTTCCTACTTTGATATTAGAGATTCTACGGTGTTATCTTTGCTTAGCCCATGACCTAGGTATAACCGTTATTCTGCCAACATACACACAAGTACACTTCCATGCCTAAAAAGAAATGTGGGAGAATGTACTACTATTAATATAACTTCAAAAATGCAGGAGGATGGTTTTTCCCCAGAAGTCACCTGGGGACTATCACCTATCAGTCAGCTCCTTGACCCCTAGGAAATGGACCATTCACTACTTTGTATCTTCCCATACTCTAAGAACTAGCTTTCCTCCGTGACCTCCTGCCACACATTCATCCCCACCACAATCATTCCTTTAACTTGCTACTATTAATGATGTCATATATTTTATATGGTCAAAGCATCTCAGGGCCAGTAGTGTGAGCCATATCCTTTTATTATTTCTATATTCTCATGCACGGCTCTAGCTGTGCTGACCTTGGAGGATTTACCCCTCTCAGGGTGTGCCAGATTAAACAGACATCAATGATTGTACTATGACAATGGCTATCATATTGTACAGCAAGCACTCCAGAGCCCACAGTCCCAGCCACTTCAGTGGCCTCTCACACTCTGGGCCACTATTCACTAGCCCTGCACCTCCCCACCCCCACCCCCCGCCTTATGCCCTAGAGCGTGTTGATATTACAAACTCTAAGGAATCCTACACCTTCTTACTCAGCCTTGCCTGTTCCTTCCCATGCAGACCACAATAAAAGCTCCTGCCTACATGACCCCTCTCCCCACTTGCCTTATTGTGAATGATATTGGTGCTTTGCCAAAGTTCCGCCATGGGGTGGCTCACCCTCTCTTCCTTAGACCTGTGAGTATAAACAATGTCTTCACAGTGGCAATCTATCTCCTGATTGCTTGGAATCCCCATTACCAAAAGGTAACAAAACCTATATTTTAGAACAATTGTAGGAAATAGGGTGGTTTGGCCACTGACCAGGATGATAGGCTGTTAGACTCCTCATGGCTCACTGATAGTGCAGGCGTGCCCCAGGAGGCTGTGGTATGCTGCCAGGCTGCTGCTGCTGCTGCTGCTGCTGCTGCTGCATGACTGCACTGTGGCTGCAAATGCTGTTTGTTGCTGTGGATTCCTACCCTGAATGCAGAACGTGAATAATGAGTCTCCTCCAACTTATGGTCTGAGCTGAGTTACTTGCTTTGATGTGAACATTATACTCTTAGGGGCACCCTTTTCAAATTGACTAGGTTAACCTTAAAAAGGCTTTTCAGAATAAAGTGGGTTTGGATTTATTTCCCAACATTTTGGGGCCAGCTAGATGAGTGCATTTGACCAGTTGACAGGGTAACATGGAGAACTGTCAGGACAAACTGTAGCATTTCTTGATTCCCATTCATCCCACCCTGCCCTGTTGAGTAGGAGAACCCTCTTTGGAAGCTCTTATATGTGGTGATTGACACACAGTCAGTGTGATGTTTTAAACTCAGGAAGTAGGCTATGCACTCAGTGAAAAGAGTTATGAATGTAAACTTTTATCATTTGTCTTGCTGCTGTTGTAATTTATCCCCTGACCTAGTGACGTACAAGAGATCATACCGTTTGTGATTAGCACAAGTATGCTTACTGAAAAACGAAAAGGTGAGAGGGGACTATGTCCTCAATCTCCTAAAACCCCAAAAGACATCATGCAATTGATTCAGGAAGGTAAAATGCCCGGATAAAGTGCATGGATCTTTACTGACTGCGTTTGCTTAACAGCATACAGAGGGCCTTAGGCTATCAATCTGGAGCCTCGAGAATAATGATCTCATCACTGTACTGGAAGAGGATCCGGGCTCCTCAAAAATCAACAAGAGGGGCTGTGGCTCAACAGTAGAGTGCTTGCCTTGAAGGTGCGAGACCCTGGGTTTGATCCTCAGCACCACATAAAAATTAATAAAGGTATTGTGTCCAAGTACAACTAAAAAATAAATATCTTTAAAAAAAAATCAACAAGGGGCTGGGGATGTGGCTCAAGCGGCAACGCACTCGCCTGGCGTGCGTGCGGCCTGGGTTCGATCCTTAGCACCACATACAAACAAAGATGTTGTGTCGGCCAAAAACTAAAAAATAAATATTAAAAAGTCTCTCTCTCTTCTCTCTCTCTCTCTCTTTAAAAAAAAAAAATAATAATAATCAACAAGAGGGCAACCACTATTGGGGTCCCTTGTTGTGGCTGTAGGAGTTACATTTCTGTTCTTCATACTTGAATAAATCCTTTAAAAAAAATTAACTGGGACATAGTACCAGAGGGAGGCCAGCACCCATGCAGAGATCCACTTAGGAAACACCAGAACTTTATGGGGTTAATAAAAGAAGCAAAACAGTTGGAGACACAAGGGGACTTAAAAAAAAGAAAGAAACAATGAAAAGGGACTGATACACAAGACAAAACCATCCTGTCCAAAAGAAATGCTTCTAGACCAATAAGTGTAAACCCCAATCCCTAAAGGCAATTTCAAAAGCTCCAGAACAGAAAAGTCTGCCTAAAGGCAGGTCACAGGATACCTGCTCTACTTTCCCTTTCTGTAACCTACTAGAAGACTCATACTGAATTTTTGCCACAAACAGATGATAGGGATTAACTGAGTGGTAACTGAATTGGCAGGGCATAGCTGGAGGAAATGGGGATTGGGAGCGTGGCTATGAGGTACATATTTTGTATCTGGAGAGTAAGTAGAGTCTCCCTCTCTCTGATCACCATGCGAACTGCATCCATCTGCTACATTCTTAGGCCAAGGTGTTCTGCCTCACCTTGAGCCCTGAGGAATGGAGCCTGCTGTCTATGGATTGAGACCTCTGAAACCCTGAGCCCTCAAATAAACCTTTCCTCCTCTACAATTGTGCTGGTTGGGTCTTTTAGTCACAGTGGCAAAATAGATGACTAAAACACATGCATTCACAAAAATAGAGATTTCCATTTGACCCAATTAGAAATCCAAAACTTACACACTCACATTTATATAGCACAGTTTTATAAAAGAAATTGTATATAATAACCACATATCAATATAAGTTCTGAATTAATATTAGCATTTGCTAAAATGTACTAATTAAGCTAGAAGCAGTGATACAGGCCTGTATTCCAGTGACTCAGGAAAATGAAGCATTAGGATCCCAAGTTCAAGGCAGGCTTTGGCAACTTATCATGACTCTCAACTCTCATGGCAATTTAGGAAGACCCTGTCACAAAATAAAAATAAAAAATATATATACAGGGCAGAATATGTAGCTCAGTTGGTAGAGTGTTTGAACATGAACAAGGCCCTTAGTTCAATCCCCAGCACCACCAAAAAAATAAACAAAATAAAAAATATAAAGGACTGGAGATGTACTTCAGTGGAAAAGTGCCTCTGGTTTAAAGCGCCAGGAAAAAGACAAAAAAACAAACAAAAGGGCTGGAGATGTAGCTCACTGGCAAACTGTCCATGGGTTCAATCCCGAGCATCTAAATAAATAATTAATTAAATGGACTAAATTAATAAGTTCCAGACATGATCAATTTCTAGGGTGCAAATACATATACCTGAATCTGAAACAAAAGGAAAATATTTTGTCTGCTATAATATTAGAAAAGTAGCTACACACAAAGTAGAAGAAAAATAGTTCAGCATTGTTTATTTGTTTGTTTTTCAGTACTAGGGATTAACCAATGGCCTTGAGCATGCTGGGCAAATGCTCTACACCTGAACTACATCCCAGCCTTTAAGCCTCATTTTAACTGCATAGTTGCTTCAATATCCTACTCATGGTACCAATTGTGGCAATATGTCTCATACTGGGTTATAGATGCTATCACACAATGGATGACAAATGAAAATTAAATTAAACCTTTGGCAGTTATACATTTTACTGTGTTGGAAATATTGGGAGTCCTGGGCATGAAAATGAACAGTCAAGACTAATCAGCTCTGTCAACAGGGCAATAAGTTTACTTCCATGCCCAGAAGGGCCCACAGCCATCTAAACCAATGCAGGGGTCCCTGGCAGGCAGTCAGCTTGGCTTTTATTTCTGAAAAAGGGGACTGGGTCCTTGCCTATAGGTCAGAGGAGACCTCATTGTCTTTGAGAGAACAGCTATGAAGGAAAAAAGGTACTGGACCACTACTCATTGGTTGGAGCCAACTTCACTATTTCCTATTGGGTTATTTAAAGAAATATATCCTCTACTTGTCCCCACCTCTCTTGTGGTGTTCCCTTGTGGTGGGACAGGCCCTCTGGGTTGAGTGCCTTTTGACAGGAACACAGCTTCTCTCAGTTGATCAGGCCAGGTCTCCTTCTCACCTCCTGTGTGTCAAGGAGCTGTAAAATTTTACACTGAGGTATTAACTGTTTGTTAATTTCCATTCGGCTCTTCACTCAGGCTGCCTTTCTTATATCCCAGGTCATTTTGCATTTAAGGTTAAATACTGTATTTTGAAAATGGACCACCAGGATTGTCAATTTCTCATAACTAGATAAAATGGGACCCAAAAAGCCCCAGAAAAAATAGCTAATATGGTACTTTGAAAGTTAAAACACTGACATTAAAGATGAAAACTTATTATAAAAAGTCAATTAAACAAAAAGACGAGGGACTGGGGTTGTGGCTCAGTGGTAGAGTGCTCACTTAGCACATGTGAGGAACTGGGTTCGATCCTCAGCAACACATAAAAATAGATTTAAAAAATAAAAAGAAAACATAAAGACCAACACATGTAGGCTTATGGAATAGAAGGCAGAACCAAACTCTTGCATACACATTTAAATGATTTTTTTTTTTTTAACTAGAGTGTCAGCACCATTGCATGGGGATAGAACTGTCTTTTAGTTTCAACAAACGGTGAGAAATATGGATATCCATATACACAAGAATGGCACTGTCCATTTACCTTATACCATATATAAAAATGAACTCAAAATGAACCAAAGACTTGAATATAAGGACTAAAACCATAAATTCTCATAATAAAGTATCAGGCAAAACTTCATGGCTTTGGTTTTGGCAATGATTTTTTGCATATAATACTGATATGCAGGTAGTAAAACTAAAAATGATCAAGTTTGACATCAAAATGTCTCACTTCTGTGAATCAATGGTTATAACAGAATGAAAAGACAATTTATAAAATGGGAGGAAATATTTCATAATTATATATCTGACAAACTCTGAAAATACAAAGACATAAACAACTTTTACAAATAAACAACAACAAAATACTCTGATTTTTAAAAAGGACATAGAAAAAAAACGAATCACAAAAAAAAAAATTTTTAAAGACACAGGACATGAATACATGTTTCTCAAAAAAAGATACACCCAAGGTCAACAGGCACATGAGAAGAGACTCAATATAAAGAATACTAAAATCATTTTAAGGAAAATTCAAAACAAAATGACAATGAGATCTTGCCTCACACACATAATGGTGCCTTGTACACACAAGTACACTAACAAAAAAAAAAAAAAAGAGGGGGGGGGAAGGAGAGAAGAAAAACATAACAATTGTTCATAAAAAATTGGAGAAATTAGAATTCTATCTTATTTTTATTTTTGTACTGTGGATTGAACTCAGGGTGCTTTACCACAGAGCTACATCCCAAGCCCTGTTTATTTTTAATTTACAGACAGCGTCTCCCTAAGTTGCTCACACTGGCCTGTCTCAACCTTCCTCATTGTTGCCATTCACCTCACCTGACTGACATATTGGAATTCTTGTGCATAGGTGCTACGAATGAAAAATGGTGCAGCTCTTATGGAAAACAATATGTTGGCCAATTTTTGTAATTTTAGATTGTTTTGGCTTCATTTTAAATTTAAGTTGATTTGGCCCATACCAGAAATAGGGCTTAGATACCCTTAGCACAGTTTTCAATTCTCTTCCCCTCCCAGTTTTTACTGAAATTTACATTATACAACCATTTCCTAGTAACCATCTCTTTAAAGAACACTCCAATACAACCTACTTGACTCATCCACACATAGCCTTGTATACCTTAAACAATTACAGATTCACTCAGGAAATCTGCCTCTTTAGGGACCTAACTAATTTAGGATTTAGGCCTCTGTCTATTTCTTTTGCTCCCCATGGGATGGTTGAGTGTGCATGTCCCAGAAAACTGCACTCATCTTGATGCTCCTGGAAGAGGTGCAGCTCTCTTTAGGATTTCAAAGTCATAAAAACTATTCTCTTAACTTCGTGTGTGTGTGTTCTGTGTGTGCATGTGTATTGTGTGTGTGTGTGTGTGTGTGTGTGTTGATGCTTTGTCCTCAGTCTCTTTTTTTCCCCTCTTCAGTGTCCTGCCCGACTGAAATAACACTTTCAAATTCTCCTCATTTCCAGGGCTCTACTACAGAGTGGCTATCCAGGTAGAAATGCGTTCCCACCTCTGGGGACTTCCTGCCAACTATTTGTCTGCAGTGGCCCTGCAACTTCTACCCATTCTCTTGTTTTATCCCCTCACCTATGCCCCTATATGCCAACACCTGGTGTGCAGTGGCAAGGACTTCAGTTAAAAAGGCAGGACTATTTCATTGTTACCTCTTCCAGAAGTCTTTAGGAAAATAAAGAAATGTAAATGTGCATCCCTGGTCCTTAGTCTCTCTTCAGTGCTAAGAACTTCCAATGACCTTAGCAAATGATTCAGCTGTCATTGCACACTGGGGGTTGCTGCAAACCCAAATTTGGTCAAGAGGGTGGTCCTAGAAGAGGACATGGCTGCATAAAAAGGACCACCAGAAATACGCAAACAGGCACCAGTTAAACAACAGGAATTGGCTAAGGAAACATCCAAAGACAAGGGGAAAAATTTGTTTAGCTGCCTAAAAATATAAAACATTCTAAAGACTTACTTAAAAGTTGAGGAAGTTGAGGTCTTGCTGGTGGGGGAGATGTCTCAAGGAAAGGCTGCTGCCCAGGGTCACCAGGTCCCTTCTCCATCTTGCTATTCCCCTTTCCATTCAGAAATAGAAACTAATAACAATAATAGCAGGTAGATAAAAATCTAAAGAAAATTTTAAAAAAATAGCTTTGCCTGGCGTGGTGGCACACACCTATAATCTCAACAAATTGGGAGGCTGAGGCAGGATGATTGTGAGTTCAAAGCCAGACTCAGACTCAGAAATAGCTACGTTCCAAGCAACTCAGCAAGACATTGTCTCTAAATAAAATACAAAATAGGGCTGCGGATGTGACTCAGTGGTTGAGTGCCCCTGAGTTCAATCCCTGGTACCAAAAAGAACCTCTAATCAATCAATCAATCAATCTATCTATCTATCTTTCTTTCTTTTCTTTCCTTTTCTTTCTCTCTTTATTTTTGTGCTGGGAATTGAACTCAGGAGTACTTAATCACTGAACCACATCCTCCAGCCCTTTTTTCATATTGTATTTTGAGATAGGGTCTTGCTAAATTCCTTAGGCCCTGTCTAAATTGCTGAGACTGGCCTTGAACTCGAATTCTCCTGCCTCAGCCACCCAAACTGCTGGGATTACAGTCCTGCACCACTGTGCCCAGCTATAGCCTCCAATCTTAAAGAGGTAACTAAATTTAATAGAGAAAAATGGCTACGCCTGCCTTTCCTAAATTTACTATAATCATGATAGTCACTGATTAAAAATATTTTGTTAGACATAAATAGTCCAACATTGTGAATAATATATTAAGATTGAAATAAGTTTTGGCACTTACAAATTACCTTGATAAAATTGGATTCCCTAAATACTCCAGAACTCTTTTTTTGTTGTTGTTGTTGCTTTTGGTGGTGCTTAGTATTAGAACCCAGGGCCTTGTGTGTTTGAGGCAAGCACTCTACCAACTGAGCTATATCCCCAACACTCATATCAAATAGTTCAATTTTCCTACTTGTATGAAGTCAAAGCAGGGCTTTTGAGTAAAAAATTAATTATACAAAGCTTAATTAATAAGGAGTAGATTATATCAGCTGGTTCTACATTTGACTAACCAAGTTCATCTCTTTTAAAGACGAAACAAATACATACATAAGTAAAGGAAATAAAAGGTGCTTCATGATTCTTTACTACGACTTAATGCTTTGTTTCCATCTATCAAAGACTTCCTAACTAAAATTCAGTATTATTAAAATTGCTGGCTACATCTGTTCTATCACTAATAAATATACTGTACGATAGATTTGGATAAACTATTTCGTTCAGTGACTATTCCTGCAGCTTTGAAGCTGCATGGTGCCTCTATCTCCAAAGGGATACAACTCACCTTTTCTAGGCTATATAGATATAAGAGCACCTTTGTTGTTACCCACAACCTCAGCATATAAGATCTTGATAACATGGACCTTTTTCCAGGAACCCAGGCATGACATCTGTTATGGTTAGGGTTAGAATTAGAGTTAGGTTTAGGTTCAGGGTTAGGGTGAGGATTAGGGTGAGAGACACTGCAAGAAGGTTCAGAGGAGAAATCACTGGATTGTGAGAGTTATAACCCAATTGGTGAATTAATCCCCTGATAGGGATTAACTGAGTGATAACTGAAGTGGTAGGGTGAAGGAGGAGGGAAATGGGGTTGTGACTTTGGGGTATATATTTGAACATGGCAAGGGGAGTCTCTCTAGGCTTACTGATCATGATGTGAGCTGCTTCCCTCTGCCACACTCTTCTGCCATGATGTTCTGCCTCATCTCGAGCCCCAAGGAGTAGAGCCAGCCTTCTATGCATTGAGCCTTTTCCTCTTCTACAGTTGTTCATGTCGGGTTCTTTTAGTTGCAGCATCAGAAAAGCTATGTCACATTAAGGGTTCTCTCTTCTATGATGATTTATCTGAAATACTCATTAAGCATATATATATATATATATATATATATATATATATATATATATATATATATATACACACACACACACACACACACACACAAATATATATCCCCAATGTCTTTTCTTAGCACTTTTTGGCCACTGGTTGCAACATATTCTGGTCTTCATTTACATATTTTACTTATGAATTAAAATCAATAGGCATTCCAATTGATTTGGTCAAGAGGGTGGTCCTAGAAGAGGACATGGCTGCATAAAAAGGACCACCCAGAAATGCTCAAACAGGCACCACATAAACAACAGGATTTGGCTAAGGAAACATAAAAAAAAATGATTCCACACGATGCAAAAAAAAAAAAGAAAGAAAAGAAACAAACAACAACAAAATCCCCAAACCTCTGTCAAAATAAAAGCTTTGGCAATGAAATATCTCTGGACCACTCATAATGGCCAATAGTTGCCTTGGGGCTTCCTACACAAGAACTTGCTCCTTGGTCTCATGCTAAACACCATCAAAGCAATAATGACAGGTTGTCTACTGGGTTCTCATGGATATAAATACTTGTCATGGTTAATGTGGATTATAATCTTGATGGGGTTGAGACATGCCTAGGAAACATGAGTAAAGCTATAAAGGTTTTGTCTCTCATCACTCCAATAATTCCTTAATGAAAGGTCAAAGCATCCCAGGGCCCATTGTATGAACCATGTCTTTCCTGTATTCTGATGTCTGATATCTCTGCCTGGGCTGACCTTGGAGGATTGTCCCTTTCCAGGGCTAAGCAGTTCCCAGAGAAAGTAAACAACTGGCCTGTAATAGTGGATGTCATATCACAGCAACCAGTGCAGACCTACAACTCCAGCTACCTCCTTTATTGACTTCTCACACTATGGGCCACTGTTCACCTACCTGACGCCCCTAGGTCCAGGTATCACCAACCTAGCCCTTATGCCCTGGAGCCTGCTGAAATTACTAAATCTAAGGAATCTGAGTCCTTCTTACTCGGCTTTGCCCATTCCTTTCCTTCCAGATGACAATAAAAGCTCTTGCCTCTCCATTCAAGTTGTGGATGACCTTAGTGCTTGCCCATCTGCTCCCTCACTGGGTGGCATGTCCTCTCTTCTTGAGATCTGTGACAATAAAAAAGATTTTCAATGGCAATAATCTCCTCATTCCTTGGAATCATCATTCCTAAAAAGTAATAAAATCTATATTTTCAGAAAAAGTGGTGCAAAGGAAGAGGGTGCCTTAGCATCACAGTGGGATGGTATGTTCCAAGACTTTTCTTATGGATATTGCAAGCAGGTACCAACAGATTGTGGCATATTCTCAGGCTGTTGCACTTTTGCACTGTGTTACACTTTTGCACTGTGACACTGTCTGGGTGTTGCTGTGGATTTCCACTGAAAATTCAGAAGTTGAAACTTGAGTCCTCCACAAGTTCAGGTCTGAGCTGTGTTACTTGCCTAGATCCAGATTCAAACTCCTGGGGGCACCCCTTTGTTAATACTGACAAGGTCAACTTATAAAAGACTCTTCTTAAGGGCTTCAGGTGTGATTTTTCTCAACTGTTAAGGACAGGATTGGTGAGTACACAGGATGCACTGAGAAGAGATTGGATAAACTACTGCACTGCTATTTTCGACTCATCTCAGTCTGTCCTATGGAGTGGAAAGAGCCCTCTCGGGAGGTTCTCCTGTGTTGTGATCAACACAGAGTCACTATAATGGTGTTAGGTAGCAAGTAGATTTGAGCAGTGGGACCAAGCAGTTTAAAAGTTGAATTTCAGCCAGGTGTCCTGGAGCATGCCTATAATCCCAAGGACTCAGGAGGCCTTGGCTAGAGGATTGCAAGTTCAAGGCCAGCCTCAGCAACTTAGTGAGACTCTAAGCAAATTTGAGACCCAGTCTCAAATGCTAAGGATGTACCTCAGTGGTTAAACACCCCTGGGTTCAATTCCTGGTCCCAAAGACAAAAAAAAAGTTAATTTCTTACATTGAGACTACTTGCTAACTCTCAGCCTTTAAAAATCTCACACAAGGCCATTAAGATCCAGCTTTGGGTTAAAAAGATAGCAATATATCACAACCCATGACTACATGTTATCTTCAGGGTTATTCTTCCTTCTTAGGGCTCAGGAGTTCAGATTCTTTTTTGGATCTGTACCTCCACTGATCAAAAGAATACAAGTTACCCTTATCAGGGCAGGACCCAGATGAAAGAGGGCCTTTGTGACCTTTATGCAAAGATCCCTCAGGATGTCACACAGCTGATTCAGGAACATAAAATTCCCAAATAATATGCATGAACCTCAGTTGTATACTCTGCTTTTCCAGAAAAACAAGGAACTTATGTAAGGACCTGGAGGTTCAAAACACTCTTAAGGACCCTGTCTCTCTTGGAAGTAGATCCAGGCCCCTCACAGCTGAACTGGAACTATAGAAAGAGGCCACCACCTATGCCCAGAGCCACTGGGCCAGAACACAAAGAAACAAACACAAAAGGATTGAGGACTTAAACACACACACACACACACACACACACACATTGTAAAGAAATTAATACTTCAAACAAAAGACAAAACTATGCTCTCCCAAGGAGGGGCTATTAGAGTTCTCTTAGCAAACACTATTTCGAAAAGTAATAATATTGGAAAGGCAGAGAACAAACATGCTGCCTATACACAGTACAGTGGGCACCTGCCCTACCCAACTCTTCTTGTAACCACTTAGAATGTCCATACTGAGTTTCAGCAAAGACAACTACTATGGTTTCAGGCAGCTACAAGTATAAGATACAGAGGAAAAGGGGATAAGGCGGGGGCAGGCGGGGGGTAAGAAAAGACAAGATCCTCCACATAGAAGGGAAAAAAATAAAAGGTAATAAAAAAAATTACATTGGGGAATAGGGTTGTAGATCAGTAGTAGAGTGCTTGCCTCACATGCATGAGGCACAGGGTTCGATCCTCAGCACCACATAAAAACAAATAAGTATAATAAAGATATGTGTCCTCTGCAACTAAAAAAAATTTTTTAAAAATTACATTGGTAAATATTATGGTTTGGATGTCAGTTATCCCCCAAAAGCTCATGTGTGAGACAATACAAGAAGGTTTAGAGGAGAAATGATTGTGTTATGAGAGCCTTAACCTAATCAGTGAATTAATCCCCTGATAGGGATTAACTGAGTAGTAACTGAAGATGGGTATGGAGCAGCTACAGGAGGTGGGTCACTGGGGGTGCACCTTTGGGGCATACATTTTGTATCTAGTTAGTGGAGTCTCCCTCCCTCTCTCTGCTTTCCAATCATCATGTGAGCTGCTTCCCTCTACCACAATCTTCTGACATTATGTCCTGCTTCACCCCAAGGCCTGAGGAATAGAGCTGGCTGACTATGGATTGAAAACTCTGAAACTGTGAGCCCCCCCAAATAAAGTTGTTCTTGGGGCTGGAGTTGTAGCTCAGTGGTAGAGCACTTGCCTAGCATTAGTGAGGCAGTAGGTTCGATCCTCAGCATCACATAAAAATAAATAAAAAGATATTGTGTCCATGTACAACTAAAAAATATTAAATAAATAAACAAATAAAGTTGATCTTGTCAGATCTTTCAGTCAGAGCAGCAAAAAAAAAAAAAAAACTGACTAAACCAGAAATTGGTAACTGAGAGTGGAGTCATTGCTGTGCCTAACCTGACCATTTGGTTCAGAAGCTTTTGGAGCTTTTTGAAATTGGTGGGAGGAATTTTGAGAAACTTAGCAGTGCAATCTGGAAATGTTGTAGCGGAACTTAATGGCCAGTTCTGCCCGGAGCTCAGAAGACCAGAATGGCAATAGAACTGTGCACAATAAAGTCTGGGCTCATGAGGTTTTAGAAGAAAAGGAGAATATTCTTGGCAATTGTACTACAGGCCATTTGTGTAACATTCTGGCTGAGATGTTGTCTGCATTTTGCTCATGTCCTGTGACTTTCTGTGAGGCTGATTTTAAAAGTGATGGACTCCTTTATCTGGTGGAAGAAATGTCTAGGCAGCATAGCATTCAGGCTGTGGCATGGATATTGCTGATAGTTTTTAGCCAAATTTATTTTGATAATTAGAAGCAGAAAGCAGAGCAAAAAGATTTGACTTTAAGGGCCAGGGTTAAACTGAGGCTAAGGAAGTTGTAGTTGTTGTAAAGACATTATTGACCCTAAAGTGCAACATCCGCTAACCAAACCTGCAGGAATGGAGCCAAGACAAGCCAATTAGAAAGGCTACTTGGAATGTCATCAACAGGGCCACAGGGTTGAAGCTATATAAGCCCTTTGGACAGAACATCACCAGGTACCCCAGTCAATTAAACATAAAGACAGGAGCTGAGATTGTGGCTTAGTGGTAGACTGCTTGCCTCACACGCGTGAAGCACTGGGTTCTTTCCTCAGCACGACATAAAAATAAAATAAAGATATTGTGTCCACTTATAACTAAAAAAAAATTTAAAACAAATTCTAAAAAAAAAAAAATGATACCAGATGATACATGATCAGACACCTATAGACCTCAAGAATGGCAGAAAATCTTTCAAGTGGTATTATGTACACTTGAATGTTTCACCTAACTGCTACAAAACATGAATATTCAGTAATAAATTAGAATGAATTAAAATGGTCCAAATTATATTGTTACATTGTGAGCATGTTTATGAAAAAGGAATCCCAATATTATATAACTCTAATGCACCAATAAAAAGTCTTTTAAAGGGCTGGGGATGTGGCTCAAGCGGTGGCGCGCCCGCCTGGCATGCGTGCGGCCCGGGTTCGATACTCAGCACCACATACCAACAAAGATGTTGTGTCCGCCGAGAACTAAAAATAAATAAATTTAAAAAAAAAAAAAAAGTCTTTTAAAGGCCTATAAACATGTGTCTAAACGTTTAAAAGTAATAAATTAACTGTTTTAGTCAGCTTTTTTGCTGCTGTGACTAAATGACCTGACCACAACTGTAGAGGAGGAAAATTTATTTTATGGCTCAGTTTCAGAGGTCTTAGTCCATAGAAGGCCAGCTCCATTCCTCGGGGTCACAGAACAGCATGGCGGAAGAGTGGTGGAGAGAAGCAGCTCACATCATGATCAGAAAACAGACAGGTCTCTACTTGCCAGATACAAATGTATACTCTCAAACCTAGGCCCCCAATGCCACCCTACCAGCCTTCAATTACCACTCAGTTAATCCCTATCAGGGGATTAATGCACTAATTGGATTAAGGCTCTCACAACCTAATCATTTCTTCTCTAAACTTTCTTGCATTGTCTCACACGTGAGCTTTGGGGGGCACACCTCATATCCAAACCATAACATTAACAAATTGTTTAAAAAAAAAAAAAAGAAAAGAAAGAAAAAGAATGTAGTACTGTTACATGCTACAATGTAAATGAACCTCGGAAACATTATGCAATGGAAAGTAGTTACAAAAAGGCCACATACTGATTCTGTTTATACAAAATGTCCAGAATACCCAAACACATAGACAAAGTAGATGAGTGGTTACCAAGCAATGAATGAAGGGGATGATTGGGACTAACTGATAATAGGTACACAGTATCTTTTTGGTGAAGGAAGTGTTCTACAACTAGATAGTGTTGATGGCTACATAGCCAGGTGGGTGTGCTGGGAACCACTGAAGTGTACACTTGGCAATAAACTAGTATAAAAATAAGGGAGTTCGCTAGGTGCAGGGGAACACACCTGTAATCCCTGCAACTTGGGGATCTGAGAGGAGGAATGCAAGTTCAAGACCAGCCTCAGCAATTTAGTAAGACCCTAAGCAACTTAGTGAGACCCTGTCTCAATAAATAAATAAATAATAAGCATTTTTAAGAGCTAAGGAAGGGCACTCTGTAATCCCAGTAGCAGACGCAGGAAGAGTTCAAAAAGCCAGCCTCAGCAACTTAGCAAGGTGTTAAGCAACTCAGTGAGACCCTATCTCTAAATAAAAGACAAAAAAGGGTGGGATGTGGCTCAGTGGTCAAGTGCCTCTGGGTTAAACTTAAAAAAAAAAAAAAAAAAGGAGCTCATTCTAAGTACAATAGTTAAATAATTAAAGTACAATACTTATTTTTTATTTTATGTTTCTGTTATGGGGGAGATGGGTATTGAACCTAGGACGCACTAACAGTGAGGTATATCCCCAGCCCTTTTTACTTTTTATTTTGAGATAGGATCTCATTATGTAGCTTGGGGCCTCAGGAAGTGCTGAGGTTGGCCTTGAATTTGTAATCCTCTAGTCTGGTCACGGGGATCACAGATGTACCCTTCTGTGCCTGGCTCCAATGCTTATTTGCTATATTCCTTCTTAAGTAATAAGACCATTCTTCCTTTTCTCATTTGTGTTCGGGTTTCTGGGATCTTTTGAGTGCACCCTTGTTTTCTAAACTGCGTTGCTTAGAAACCATTTAAAATTTAATTTAAGTACCCCACAAATTAGTCTTTGCACCATTGAAGCAGCATATGACTGGCTGCCTGCCTCCTTGGCTATGTTGTTAACAGAAACTCTAACCCTAAGCCTGGCACCCTTCATACCCACTATGCTCTGGGAAATAGAAAGAGCAACCCACACTTTTCATGGCTACTTAGGCAAAATATGTACCCTCTGACAGACCATAAGAGGAAGAGAGGGTGGCTTCCCCTGGCCTCAGACTTTTGTTAGATGTCATAATACTGCCTAGCCACCTGGGGCCACAGAAAATATGCTTACCAGAAAATCCTTTGGGATTAACTGAGTGAATAGTATTGTAGTTCACATACTATGTGGAAAGCCATAGGCCCACAGGTCAGGCTGCAGCACATGTGAAATTATACTCATTTGAACCTAAACTTCCATCAAAACCACAAAACAACAAAACACACACACAAACTCTAATGGTGGTGGTCCACTTTAAAAGGCTTTGCATATAGCGCCAGCTGCACTGCTACTGCAACTTATTTTTTTTTTTTTTTTTTTTTAAAGAGAGAGTGAGAGAGATAGAGGTAGAGAGAGAGAGAGAATTTTTTAATATTTATTTTTTAGTATTTGGCGGACACAACATCTTTGTTTGTATGTGGTGCTGAGGATCGAACCCGGGCCGCACGCATGCCAGGCGAGCGCGCTACAGCTTGAGCCACATCCCAGCCCCTGCAACTTATTTTTTAAAAGGACATGTTTCACTCCCTTTTCTTCTCTAATCTCTCTTCCTTCCTAATCTCAAGAGGAAAAGGGTTAACTTTCTTCCCCATCCTAGAAAGAATTACTTGTGGGCTAGGGTTGTGGCTCAGAGGTAGAGTGTTCTGTAGGCTTGAGGGACTGGGTTCTATCCTCAGCACCACATAAAAATAAAATATTGTCTCCACCTATAACTAAAAAATAAAGATTTTTTTTTTTTTTTTTTTTTTTGTATAAAGAATTACTTATTTTTGGGCACACACCCACCACAGAAACAAAGTAATCCAGACTTTGGGGCTACCACCAGAAGACCTCAGAAATGACTATCTCCCAAATTAACGAGTGAATTAAAACTCTTGGACAGAAAACATTTGAAATTTAGCCTTTGAATCATCTCTTTAAAAGCCCTCTTGCACAGAATCACAGCCTCTGGGACAAAAGTCCTCTGTGTTTCTCATTTGCTAGCAAAGCAATAAAACTTCCTTTTCCTTTTTCTCAAAATGACGTCCTTGCTATTGGATTGGCATCAGGATAAGGATTAAGCTTTCAGTAACAAAATCACTCTAGTGGGCAATTACATGGTATTTCATTAACTATTGATCATATTCGCTTAGATTTATAAATTGGAACTCTTGTGCACAGGTGATATGAAAAATGGTGCGGCTCCTATGGCAAACAATTTGGTGAATTCTTAGAATTTTAGATGGTTTTGGCTTCTATTTTAAATTTAAGTTGACCTTTCCCATACTAGAAGCAGGGCTTACATGCCCTTAACTCAGCTTCTAGTTCTCCTATCCTCTTAGTTCTTCAACAAGACCATTCCAAAAATCTACCTTATAGACCATCTCCTAATAATCGTCTCCCTTTGCTACAGCTCAAAACAACCTATTTGACTCATCCAGTCATGTTCACATCCCACAAGAACTCTGCAGATGTGCCAAAGAAACTCCTATTCAAGTCACTGTGGCCTCCAGGGAGCTCCTGTCTACTTACTATGATCTATCAATCTTAGCTCCACTCAGGAAACTTGCCTGAATTAAAAACCATGAACGTCAACAAATGTTTTGGCCTTAAGTCAATCTCTGTCTCTCTTGCTCCTCACCTTCTTTTCGAGTGTGCATGTCCCACAAGAATGCACTCTTACTGATGGTCCTGCAAGGTCTGCTGCCCTCTTCTCTTTAGGATTTCTTTCTTTTTTTTTTTTTAATATTTATCTTCTAGTTTTCAGCGGACACAACATCTTTGTATGTGGTGCTGAGGATCAAACCCAGGCCGCACGCATGCCAGGTGAGCGCGCTACCGCTTGAGCCACATCCCCAGCCCTCTTTAGGATTTCAAAATAATAAAACAATAAAAACTGCTCCTTCATGTTTGTATTTGAGTCTGTGTGATTGTGCTGCCTCCTCAGTGTGTTGCCTCATTGAAACACCCCAATCAAATTCACCTCCTGTCCAGGGTTCTCCTACAGAGTGGCTATCCTGGCAAAAATAAACTGGACATGGGTCAGAAATTCAGGCTAACACGTGTTTCCCATTACTAGGGACATGCTGCCATCTATTGGTCTCCAGTGGCACTGCAGCTTTTACCCCTTCTTTTGTTTCATTGGCTATTCATCCCCCCACACCCATCCCCCTATGCACAAACACCTGGTGTGAGTAGCAAAAGGCTTAATTTAAAAGCCAGGAAAACCCATTGTCACCCACAGAGAAGCGCTTAGCAAAATAAAGAAATGTAAATGCACATCCGTTGTCCTTGGGCTCCTCTCAGAGCAGGAAACTTCTTGCAAGCTTGGCAAAAGACTCAGATGTCATAGCCCAAGGAGGGCCTTGCAAACCCAAAAGTGGTCAACTGGGTGGTCCTAGGAGAGGACATGGCTGCATAAGAAGGGGACCATAAACCACGAGAAATGCTCACTACATGCTCCACTTAAACAATAGGAATTGACAAAGGAAGCATCCCAAGACAAAGGGGAAAAGTTTTAGCTGCACAGAAATATAAGCTATTTTAAAGCCTTTACTTAAAAGATGAAGAAGTGGGGGGAAGGGAATGGAGTATAGTGGTAGGGAGGGCTGCTGCTCATTGTCAACAGATCCTTTTCCCTTGGCTCTATTCCTCTTCTCAATTAGAAAAAGAAACTTAAAACAAGAACTTCTGTCAGATAAAATCCTAAAACACATTAAAAAATGTTTAAAGGAAAAAAGGCTGCCACTTAAGCCAGCTACAAAGCAAGGAGAAAAATAAGGGGAACTTTTAGTACTTAGGGATCACCAGGTATAGAGAACACAATGCTAGGACTAGACTACATAAATTACTTATTAAGTCATAAACACTAAAAAAAAGATAAAAGACAAAAATTGTGTGTGTGTATATATATAAAGAAGTTTAATATAAACAATATGATAAATTGTTTTCCAGTAGGAACAAATCATAATTAAAATAAAACAAATTAACCTAGTTTGGTCCAACTGAATATTCAAAATTCATGTACTAGTTTATATACAAAAGATATATTTATGTAATGTATTTATGTAAGAAAAAGGGAAAAACAAAGTGCTGGTTGACTGTGTGTCTAAACACTAACTTTCGAAAAACTACACCAATTGACAAAAATTCACTGGGCTAATAATACTGGGGCTCCAAAAAGGTACACCTGGGATCCCATGAAATTTTAAAATTCTGCAGCTTTCAATCTTCAACAGGTAACTAAATATAATACAGAAAAAAAAACCGGCTATGGCTGCCTTCCCCAAATTTCCCACACTCATAATACTCACTGTTCCAAAAATTTCTATATTGGTCATATATACTCTGACACAAAGAATATACTGAAGTAAGTTTGTGCATCTACAAATTAGCTTGATAAAATGGGATCTCATTTACACTGGGTTAAAACAGTTCAATGGCTCTATTAAGTTAATACAGGACTTTTGAGCATAAAAACATACCTAGCTAATTAAGAAGGACTTGATGCTAGTGTCTGTTTTCTCATTTGACAGGCCAATTTGGTCTTCTTGAATCTGAAATAATAAGCAAGTAAAATGAATAAGAGGGTAGCAGAGGGAAAGAGGGCACACCTGGGACTAAAATGGAGCAAATTACATTCCATGCATGCATGATTATGTGAAAATAAACTCTACTATCAGGTGTGACTATAATGCATTGATACAATCGTTTTTGTTTTTTTTTTTAATATTTTTTTTTTAAATTTTTAATATTTATTTTTTAGTTATCGGCGGATACAACATCTTCGTTTTGTATGTGGTGCTGAGGATCGAACCCGGGCCGCACGCATGCCAGGCGAGCGCGCTACCGCTTGAGCCACATCCCCAGCCCCGATACAATCGTTTTTTAAGAAAAGAAATTAAACGGTGCTTTATGGTGCTTTACCCAAACCTTAATACTTTGATTCCATCCTTAAAGCCTCCCTAAACAATAGTCAATATTATTAAAATCGGAGCTGCTTTTGGAACTCGATGAGGAATCAGGATACGTTAAGAACACCCTCTTCCAGGCAGCTTTGTCTGACACACATACGAAGTACATATAAAGTCAAGGTTTTTTAGTATTTCCTAATCTCAGATGCAACATAGCCCTCATTTAAATGTTCTGGGGCTGGGGATGTGGCTCAAGCGGTAGCGCGCTCGCCTGGCACGCGTCCAGCCGGGTTCGATCCTCAGCACCACATACAAACAAAGATGTTGTGTCCGCCGAGAACTGAAAAATAAATATTTTAAAAAAAAAATTGTCTCTCTCTCTCTCAAAAAAAAAAAAAAAAAATTATAAAAATGTCCTTGCAGGCGGAAGGCAGAGGGCGGGGGAGGAGAGCGGTCTCTGAGTGATTGTGTCATCAGTAGGCGCCGCTCTTCCCCGCCCCCACCCCTGTCCTTGTCGAGAGGCGGGAAACCTACACAGAGGGAGGAGCCTGATGAGCTCATAGCTCCATGGCTGCTGCTGGAGAGTGCTGCGAGCCAGCGAGCACTGGAGAGCAGCCTACACCTCAGTGCTAACCCGGACCAGCGGGCCCCTGGCGTCCCCCTTTTCCCCAGCTCTCCTTCTCAGAAAAGGTGGCTCCTCATGCCCGTAAACAAGCCAGAGCCTTTGTCAGAGCCCTTGCCAGAGCCAGCAGCAGGGCACCAGGGAGGCTGCTACTGCCAGCCTGGACTGGGGACTTCCTCTTTAGTAAGTGGACCCTGAGGAGGGGCTGGGATTTCTGGCTCGGCCTGAGTCACAGCACAAAGATCCACAAGGTGTAGGGAGAGGAGTCCACGTGGCAGCCTCAACTGCTGGAACACAGGGAAAGTGGCGCCAAGCTGAGTCATTGCTTCTCTCCAGTCTGCTGCCTGGAATACCTTCCTGGGCCTGTAGCATGTCACCCTGGATTGTATGATACCTTACCCCAGCTCAGGAGCCACCCTCACTCTGAGTGTGGGGACCATATAAAGAAATAAAATAAAGGTCTATCAACAACTAGAAAAACATTAAAAAAAAAAAAAAAAAAAAAAGTCATGGGCTGGGGATGTGGCTCAGTGATAAAGCATGCTTGCCTAGCATTTATAAGGCCCTGGGTTCAATTCTAGCACCACCACCACCACTACCAAAAAAAGAGAAAAAAAAACACCTTAGGGAAAAAAATCATGACTGTCCCTGTACGAGTGGCACAGAAAAAACATAAATAAGCAAGACACCCAGGAAGAAGAAAGGGAGATGAGCAGAACCAGCCTCTGGTTGTAGCCACACTACCACTGCTTCTTCTCATTTTTGAGCAGGAGCCTTCCACAGTTACTGCCTCAGTGCCAAGGAGGAAGGAAACCAGCACCAGGACTTTTCTCTAAAACAGTGTCTCCACCATCAGCAATATTTCTAAAAGACCTGCCCATTCACCCCCTCCCCTCCGCATTCTATACAAAGACAACAAAAATGAAAACAAACTTGGGCCACGGTTCAAAGGTCCACTCCTTTTCTTTGGAAAAAAAATATGCAAAATCTCAGAATGTACATGTTCCGTGTTCAGCAATACCAACAACTATTAGGGACCTGAGAGCAGCCAATGGCCAAGGGCAAGAACAACACTAGATGAATTGTGTCCAATCAACTACACGCCTCTTCCAAGAATGGCAGAAAATGTTGCAGGTGACATGTACATGTACTACTTGAAATGTTTCACTTAACTGCTACAAAACGTAAGTGATTATTCAGTCATTAAAAGGAGTAAAGGAAAACAGAAAATTGTAATTAATAATTTTTGCATCAATAATTTTTTTATCAAAGGCCCACAAACCACATGCCTAAACATTTAAAAGTCATAAATCAAGTTAATAAACTTAAAAAGTCATGCTGTTTATTTAAATGTCCAGAATAGGCAATCCCATAGAGATTAGGGGTTGCCAAGCAGTGAGGGGAGGGGACAACAGGGACTAAGGGCTAACAGGTACACAGTGTCTTTTGGGGTAACAGAGTGTTCTGGAACTGGATAGTGGTGATGGCGCATGGCAAGGTAAATGTGTTGGGAACATTGAAGGGTCCAGGAAGGTTAAAATGGTTGCTGTTATGTGACATACATATCAGTACAATGCAATAAACATAAGGGAGCTCATTTTAACTTTTAAATGGAATAATGAAACTCCAATGACTATTCCGTGTATCTACAAGGCACTTAAAATTAATATAAGAACTCCACTAGTCACTGTAGATGACTTACCTGTCACTGCTACATTAGTAGAGTTCATGCAGCTTCTTTTCATCAATGCCAAGCTTGTATATGGCTCAGTGTGCTAAAATATTCATTTCTACTTTGTATTGAAATTCTCTGAACATTTACTTCAGAAGTCCCTATCTTTGCAGTAAGCCATGGTTTTAACAAAACTAGGCAAATGCATCAAGGCCAGTGTACTGTCACTTCAAAGCATACCCCAGTCCCACATCCCCCAAAACATGGCCATTTTCCTAAATCTCACCAATGGAGATGATGTGACTTTGTGTGCTGAAGAAGTCTTCACCCCTATGCCAAAATCTTCACCTGGCTTTTCTTCCTGAACTCATTACATAGTCCATGATCCATGCACTCTGTACAAATGTACAATCCTAAACTTCTATACCTAGAAGAAAAACAGGCACAGGTCACAAAAGTTAAAGGAGATTATTTACTTCCTTAGGAGGCACCTGCATCAAGTGCCTTGTCGCTGGGGACAGGATCCCACACTCCCTGATTTTTTGGCCTGCTGCGATACACATTCAGCTTTCCCCATAATCTTTCAGCTATACATTTTAAAATAATGCTAGTGGCCTCAAACATGTGATCCTCTTGCCTCAGCACCCTAGTTGCTGGGATTATAGGCATGCATCACCATGCCTAGCTTGGGTAACATTTTATCTCAGGTAAGACCTTATCTTAGTAATCTTTTCTCTGTTATTATGGTTGAACTCCTGAACTAGGCCATAGCACCCAGCCAAAAGAGTTCTAGAGGTAAGCTCAAGTTATTACTTGCCTTGTTGTTGTTAAAATTCGTCCCCTGACCCAGTGAGGTATGATACTCTTGCACAGCAGGGGCAGGATGATCAGCCAAAAAGAAGGGCAGAAGACCCTATATTCTTGCCCACCAAAGATCCCTCAGGATGTCACACAGTTGATTCAGGAACATAAAATTCCCAGATAATATGCATGGTCCTCAGTTATATACTCTGCCTTTGAGTAAACCAAGGGCCTTATGTAAGGTCCTAGAGGTTGAAAAACACTCTTTTTTTTTTTTTTTTTAAAGAGAGAAAGAGAATTTTTCAATATTTATTTTTTAGTTTCGGTGGACACAATATTTTTTTTTGTATGTGGTGCTGAGGATTGAACCCAGTGCCCTGCGCATGCCAGGCAAGTGCGTTATGGCTTGAGCCACATCCCCAGCCCGAAAACACTCTTAAGGCCCCTGTCTCTCTCTTGAAAGTAGATGCAGGCCCCTCAAAGGTGAACTGGAACAAACTATAGAAAGAGGCCATCACCTATGCCCAGAGCTACTTGGGCCAACCAGGACACAAGGAAACAAACAAAAGGGTTGGGGACTTAAAAAAACAAAACAAAACAAACAAAAAAAAAAAAACAACCAAAAGTTTCAAACAAAACTTTTGTTTGAAAAGAACTGATACTTCAAACAAAAGACAAAATTATGCTGTCTTAAGGAAGGGCTATTAGAGTTCTCTCAGCAAACACTATTTTCTAAAGTCATATTGGAAAGATAGAGGACAAAATAGGCTGCCTATAGGCAGTGCAGCAGGGGCCTATCCCTACCCCTCTTCCTGTAACCATCCTGAGTTTCAGCAAAGACAACAACTGAACACTATGGTTTCAAGCAGCTAGGAATGCAAGAAAAGGAAGGAAAGGAAAAAAAGGAGGGAAAGAAAATAAGTTAAGACAAAATCTCCTACATAGAAAATAAAAGAACAAAAAAATTACGTAAGTAAATATAATATATATTATTTATACTTAACATGTTCATATATATATATGTATATATATACACACAGACACACACAGATTCACAATTTTGCAGAATTTGAAACTCAAATTTTAAAAAATATTTGTTTATGTGGTGCTGAGGATCGAACCCAGTGCCTCATGCATGCTCTACCACTGAGCCACAACTTCAGCCCCTGAAACTCAAATTTTACATACTAACATTTACAGGGCTGGGGATGTAGCTCAGGGGAAGAGTGCTTGCCTGGCATGTGTGAGACGCTGGGTTCGAGTCTTAGCACCACATATAAATAAATAAATAAAATAAAGGTCAATGGACAACTACAACTAAATTTTTTTTTAATTATGTGCTATAAATTGATAGAATACAATTTTTCACATATAATAATAAGCACATATCAACATAGGTTCTGAATTAATTTTAGCATTTGCTAAAATGCACTAATTGACTAAGCTCCAGAATCAATAGAATCCTGGGGCTCATCTATTTATACCTGGATATATTGCTGAAGTTAAACATTATAATTTTAATAAAATAACTACTTTTATAGGAAAAATAGTTATGCCCCATTTTAACTATATAGTTGCTTGAGTTTCCCATGGTCATAGTTCCTATTGCCATAAAATATCCTGCATTGGGCATAGATGCTGTCACAAATTAAAATTAAGACACATATGTAGGCTAAAATGGACTAGAGGACAGAAATAAACTCTTATTCAAATGATTTTTGACCAACAGAACCACTGAATGTAAAGCACGATCCTTTTTCCTTGGAATAGTTAAAATAACTGTGAATGATTAAAAAAACAGAAAAAAATAAAAAATAAGCAGGAGGTAGGAGGATTGAAAGCTCAAAGCCAGCCATAGCAACTTTACGAGATGCTCATCAACTTGGAGAGACCCAGTCACAAAATAAAAAATAACAAAATAATAAAGGGCTGGGGATGTGGCACAATGGTTATGTGCCCCTGGGTTCAATCCCCGGTACCAAGAAAAAAAATTTATATAACAAAAAGTTAAAAAAAAAAATGTTCTGGGGCTGGGACTGGAGTTTAGTGGCAGAGCGCTTGCCTAACAGGCGTGAGGCCCTGGATGCAATCCTCAGTGCCACATAAAAATAAATAAATAAAATAAAGGTATTGTGTCCAACTACAACTAAAAAAATAAATATTTTAAAAAATGTTCTGACAGATTTTTATACCACCACATAGATTATAACTGAACTCTAACAAGTAATAAACTCCACTGATTGACAAAAATTCATGTAATTAATCATAGTAGGGCTCAAATTAAGGTTACATCTGGGCATTCCACTGATTTTAAACCCTGTTTCCTCTTTATTTTGTTTTTTGCTTTTATTGTTGGTGGTGGGATGGGTACTGGGATTGAAGCCAGGGACAAAACCACTGATCTACAGCCTGGGCCTTTTTTATTTTTTGATACTGGGTCTCTCCAAGTTAATGAGCATCTCATGAAGTTGTTATGGCCGGCATTACAGCAGGACTCCAGCACACCTGGCCCGCTATAATCTTAGGTAATTAATTTCATATAGAAAGAAAAGTATAGGTCTTCATTTAGCTTTTGCCTTGATTTAATTTTCCATAGTTAGTCACTGCTTCAAAATGCTCTAATATTGGACATAAATGTTCTCAAAGAAGAAAAATAAAGTCTTTGGTACTTAAAAGTGGGCTTGAGAAAATGGAACCCCATGAATCCTCATTTAAAATTGTTAACATAACCAGTGTAAATTAAAAGAGGGGTCTCAAGTCCTAAAACTCATTATGTTAAAGCCTAATAAATAGGTATAGCTGGGGGTGTTGCTGAGCTGTACAGCATTTGTCTTCCATGTGAAGGTCCTGGGTCTGATCTCAAGAACAGCAAAATTAAAAACTAAATCAATATGAGGCTGGGGATGTGGCTCAAGCGGTAGCGCGCTTGCCTGGCATGGGTGCGGCCCGTGTTCGATCCTCAGCACTACATACAAAAACAAAGATGTTGTGTCCGCCGAAAACTAAAAAATAAATATTAAAAAATTCCCTTTCTGTCTCTCTCTTTAAAAAAAAAAAAGTAAATCAATAAATGCAATAATAAAGGTGATCATCCCCTCTGAGTCTCCATTTGAAAGACAAATTTTGTCTGTTCTTAAATCTGAAATGAATCAATGAGTAGATACAGATACACAAAAAATATAGAAAATAGAGCATGGGTCATGATGGTTTTCTACAAACATAATGCTGTGATCCTATCCACCAATACCTGCTAAACCAATGTCCAAAATTATTATAATTATTAATGCTATTTAATCAACCATAAGTAAGATTTTTAGATTTGGCTAATCAATTCTGTTTAGTGCCTGTTGAATCAGGCTTTCAGCTGCAGGTTGCATACACCTTCAAAGGGACACAACATACCTTTGGTAGAAGGCTGAACATGAAGTACATCAACATCTTTTTCATTATGCAATTGGCAGACATGATGTTGATGATACATAATGTAGTCCAGGAACACTAGTACATTAATGACATCTCCTTCCAAGGAGATTCATCTAACACATTTACTAAATATATAAAAGTCCAATATCTTTTAAATTTTTTCAATTATGTTGGCAATACATTCCTCATTTACAAATTTTACTTATGCATTAAAATGAACACTCGCTCCCTTTAGAACATTAAGAAAATCCTTCATGATAAAAACACTAGGAACTGGGCTGGGGATGTGGCTCAAGCGGTAGCGCGCTCGCCTGGCGTGCGTGCGGCCCGGGTTCGATCCTCAGCACCACGTACAAAGATGTTGTGTCTGCCAAAAACTAAAAAATAAAAAAAAATTAAAAAAAAAAAAAACACTAGGAACTGTTTTCATGCTTATATAAGTCTCTGGACCACTCAGGATAGCCAATACTTGTTCTAAGACTTTGTACGCAAGAAATTGTCTCTCTTGGTCTCATGCTATGCACCAAACAACCAATGACTGACTGCTTACTGGATTCTTCGAAGATTTGAGGCTCTCACAGACCCTGAGCCCAGGACCCTCATTAGCCAGCTTCCCATCATGAAAATTGCACCCCACAATCTTGACATGGCTACAGAGCCTCATTAAGACAGCGTATAGCCAGGTGTGGTGGTGCACACCTATAATCCCAGCAATTTGGGAGGGTGAGAAGGAAGATTGCAAGTTCTAGGCCAGTCTCACCAATTTAGTGAGGCCCTAAATAATTGAGAAAGATTCTGTTTCAAAATAAAAAAGGGCTGGGCATGTAGCTCAGTGACAACGTGCCCCTGGGTTCAATCCCAACTACCCTACTCCCCTCAAAAAATACAGGATACAACCAAATCTAGGCCCTCGGATATATTCCACCCGAACATTAGGGTGTCCTCCCTTCTCCTCAGTGCCTTGCCACATGTCAGAGTGTTGAAGGAGGATATCTGTACCTCAGATCCCTGAACTACATGGGAAACCTCTTGGTATAAACTGAGTGAATACTAATAGGAGTTCACTGAATACACATACAACAATTTTCACCATCATATGATACAGAGCTTAATGGAAAGAATTCCTTTCCATCACTTAAGTAGGACGTCCCTCATAAGGGACAGGACCCAAACAATGTACTTGGCCAAACTTCAGGCAAAAATCTTAGCACTGGATACCCTGCTCAAGATATAGTCCCGGGAAGGATGTGGCTCCAGCGGTGGCGCGCTCGCCTGGTGTGCGTGCGGCCCGGATTCGATCTTCAGCACCACATACAAAACAAAGATGTTGTGTCCGGCGAAAGCTACAAAATAAATGTTAAAAAATTCTCTCTCTCTCTCTCTCTCTCTAAAAAAAAAAAAAAAAAAAAAGATATAGTCCCATCTACACATTTATTACAAAAATTGTGTCTTTGAAGATAAAAACAAAACACTATGAGAACCTCTTGCCTCAGATGCCCAAAATATAAAGCAAAGTCAGAAGCTTCCACATATACTAAGGATTGAATAAAAGGCTTCATGAATAATCATTATTACTTCAGAGTTATTGACATTATTCATAGTAACAAGACATTCATTCCACTTAAAATGTGCACTGCTGAGTTCTTTTGTGTGTGTGTCAAAGGGGGTGGTGCTGGGGATTAGAACCCAGGGCCTTGTGCATGAAACATACGCTATATCCCCAGCCCTGCAATGCTGAGTTCTTGATAAGAACATTCAATAGAATCTTCGTTGTCCTTCTAGGTCACAGATACCTGGTTTAATTTGTATACATAATAACCTGCTCAATATCTATTTTTGAAATTATAATCCAACAAATAAACTGATACATTTCTATTTCGTCCCAGGCATTAACCCAACTTTTATTATCATTATCATTATCATTATCATCATTATTTGTGGTACTGGGATACCAGTTACCACCAGTCCTACTTATTTTTATTAATATTTTTTTTTAGTTGTTCATACACCTTTATTTTATTTATTTGTATGTGGTGCTAAGAATTGAACCCAGTGCCTCACACATGCCAGGCAAGTGTGCCACCACTGAGACACAGCTCCAGTTCCCCAGTCCTACGTTTTAAAATGTTTTTATTAGTGCATTATATTTACAACATAATAGAGGGGTTCATTTTGACATAATCATTTGTTCCATTTCAGTCCCCAGTGCTTCCTCTTTCCCTCCCCTCCTCCTGCCCACATTCCCCATCCTCTACTGGTCTTTCTTCTATTTATTTATTGTTTTTTAAATTGGTGCTTTACAGATATAGATAAACGTGGACTTCAGTGTGGTATATTCATATGTACATAGCATAATTTTGCAATTTCATTCTGTATTTCTTTCTTTTCCCTCTCCTTACTCCCCCCATTCCCCTTTCTCTAGTTTACTGATCTCCCCTCTATTTTAATGGGATCCATCCCTCAGTCCTTTTTCCCCCGTTACTTGGCTCTAGCTTCCACATATGAAAGAAAACATTTTACCCTGAAATTTCTGAGGCTGCCTTATTACTCTTAGCATGATGTTGTCCAATTTCATCCATTTACCAGCAAATTCCATAATTTCGATTCTTCTTTATGACTGAGGATACAGGGTCTCCCTCAGTTGCTCATGCTGAACTAGAATTTTAAACCCTCCTGCTGCAGCCTTCAGGGTTTCGGGGTTCACAGACATGCACCACCATGCTGGCTCAATCTTTACTGGCATCATACACACCTACCCTTCCATACCTACAGAAAAAAAAAAAAAAAAAAGGTCACCAAACTTAAGAGAGATTCTTTCTTTCCCTAGAAATCAACCTGTATCACATAAGTCAACCCCTTGTTGCTGGGGACAGGATCACACACTCCCTGATCTCTCTGCCTGCTACACACCTTGAGCTTTCCCCAAGGTCTTTCAGTTGGCATCTCCAAGCCTCAGCACCTGAACACCTTCTCTTTACACTTATTGTCTCTACCAGTGAACCACAACTGCCTTACATCTAAAAGTGATGCTGAGGCACTAAGTTTTAGTGAATTTTTGTAACTGTATGTGGCCTGAACAACTCTTTTAAGTAAATGTATAATTTCTCACATCAGAAGCAGGGCTTACTCTTGTCACAGATTCCAGTTCTCCACTCCCTCCCAGGTCCTTATTGTGATCTATCCAGCTTTCTAGTACATGAACTCACCTTCTGGTAATCACCACCTTAAGGGACAGCTCAAACAACCTACTTGACTCACCAAGAGACCTCCACATCCCACATGTGCCTCCATGGAATTCATACCTGCTTAGTTTAAACTCACAAATTAGAACTCTCCTCAGGAAATCTGCTTCTAAGGATGTGCACCCCAGTAAGAGCTTGACCCTCAGGCCAGTCCCTCTCCTGTACCACTCAATCCCAGAACATCATGCCCTTCTTATTGGCCCTGCATAGTGTACTGACCTCTGTTCTCTGGGATTCAAAATAAATGCATGTATTAAAATATCAAACTAAAGCCTATAATAGACAAAATTATTATTTACAAATTAAAAGTGAAACTAAACTTAAAAATTTGAAATAAAATTCTGTTGCTGTTATTATTTCATATGAATTTTATTTTTATTTTTTCTGCTGCTGCCTCTGTGTCTCCTCTGACCATCAAATATCCCATCTTGAAATTTATTATGAAACATTAGTCCATTGCCTAAGTATCTTTCTTTTAGAGCAAACAACTCTGGAAATCCCTTGCTCCAAAGAAACCCAAATTATCAAGGAAAGCCAGGTGCGGTGGCGCACATCTATAATCTCAGCAGCTGGGGAGGCTGAGGCAGGAGGATCAAGAGTTCAAAGCCAGCCTCAGCAAAAGCAAGGTACTAAGCAACTCAGTGAGACCCTGTCTCTAAATAAAATACAGAATAGGGCTCAGTGGCTGAATGCCCTTGAGTTCAATCCTCAATACCCCCAAAAAAATTATCAAGCAAAATCACAAGACTCTAGTTTATATAAACTAGGTACACAATATAAAGTATCACAAGACACTGCTTATAACTGAGTCACACATTTCACTTCTCAAAATACAAAATGCTGGGCTCTTAAGAAGTTATTTAATAGAGCTTTGATGTCCCTGATAAGTCACACATAGCTGGCTAACTTGAGAGACTTCATGGTCTCCTCAAAAAACTTCTTTCCAAATTCAAGTCAACTGGGAGTGGTAGTGCATGCCTGTAATCCCAGTGATCTGAAAGACTGAGGCATGAGGATTCCAAATTCAAGGCCAACATGAGCGATTTAGGGCGACCCCCCCACCACACACACACACAGGAGGAGGAGGAGGAGGAAGAGGAGGAGGAGGAGGAGGAAGAGTGTTGGGGATATAGCTCAGTTGATAGAGTGCTTGCCTTGCATGCACAAGGCCCTGGGTTCAATCCCCAGAACCACACTAAATAAATAAATAAAACAGGGTGATTTCAATACACTTCTCTCAGCAATAGACAGGTCATCCAGATATTAATTCAGTAAAGAATCTTCAAACCTAAAAAATATTATAAATCAAATAGACCTAATAGACATCTATAGAATATTTCACAACAACTGAATATGCCTACTTCTCAGCTGCTCATGGAACCTTCCTCCAAATAGATCATATTTTATGTCACAGAAGAAAGGAAATGAAAAGCCTGCTCATGTTCTTGATAGGCATAATTAATTGTTAAAATGGCCATATTACCAAAAGCAATATGCAGGTTTAATGCAATTCCCATAAAAATACCAATGGCATTCTTCAAAGACTGTGAAAAACAGTTCTAAAATTCACATAGAAGAGTACAAGGACCAGATTATCCAAAGTAATTTGGAGCAATATGAGCAGTGCCGGAAGCATTGTGACTTCAAAAACTTCAAATTATAATTCAGAGCTATGGTAACGAAAACTGTGTGATACTGGCATAAAAATGGACAAATGGACCCACAGAAGACACAGAGACAAAGGTATACAGACACAATCATGAGATCCTTGACAAAGATGCCAAAAATTAAAGTTGGAGAAATGATAGCCTTTTGAATAAATGGTACTAAGAAAATTGGATATCCATATGTAGAAGGACGAAACTACATCCTCATCTCTCTCACCCTGTACAAAGTCATCTCAAAATGGTGTAAAGACCTAAGAATTATACCAGAAACTCTGCAACTGGTAATAGAAAATATAGGATAAACACTCTGACACATAGGCTCAGGCATCAACTTCCTTAGTAACCTTCCTGACACTCAGGAAATAAAGCCAAGAATTAATGAATGGGATTGCATCAAATTAAGTAACTTCTGCACAGCAAAGGAAACAAGGATGTAAACAGAGAGCCTATAAAATGGAAGAAAATCTTTGCCAGTCAATCTTCTGACAGAGGAGTAATATGCAGGATACATAAAGAACTCAAGAAACTAGGGCTGAGATGTACCTCAGTGGTAGAGCATTTGCCTATCATCATATTCAAGGCCTGGGTTCACTCCCCAGCACCTAAAAAACAAACAAACAAAAACAAAACAAACAAACAAAAAATCAACTAATGGGCAAATGAAGTAAACACATTTCTCAAAAGACACATCTGTAAAGCCAAAGCACAGATGGCCAATCATTAAATGAAAAAATGCTCAATATCGCCAGCCATCAAAGAAATGCAAATCAAAACTACACTGAGATTCTATCTCACCATGGTCAGAATGGCTGTTATCTAAATAAATAAATGATCAAAAAATGATAGTGAGATGTAGAGAAAACACATAGGAATAAATCTAATCAAGATTTGTGGGGAGGGGAGTGCTGAGGTTATAGTTCAGTGGTAGAGCACTTGATTACCACGTGTGAGGTACTGGGTTTGATTCCCAGCACTACAAATGAAAAAATAAAAGTATTATATCCATCCAAAACTAAAAATATATTAAAAAAAAAGATTTGTGGAAATGTAAGTTACACATACACTTACATTTTCCAAATGTAAGCCACTTTGGAAAACAGCATGGAGGTTCCTCAAAAATAAAAATAAAATAAAAATAGAATGACCATATCATCCAGCTATACCACTTTTGGTATTTATCTGAAGGAAAATGTCAGCATACAAAAGACATATCTGTATACCCACATTTATCATGACCCTATTCACAAAAGCCAAGATATGGAATCAGCCTAGGTGTGTATCACCACACGAATAGATAAAAAAGAAAATGTACTATCTATACACAATGGAATTTTATATAGTCATAAAGAAGAATGAAATGATGATACTTCCAGGAAAATTAATGCAACTTGAGGTCATCATGTTAAATGACATAAGCCTAGCTATAGAAAGACTAATATTACATGTTTCCTATTATATGTAGAAAAACAAAAGAAAGAAATAAAGAAAAAAATATGAGCTAGAAATCAAAGAGGTACTATTAGGGAAGGGGAAAGGAACAAGGGATTGGGAAGAAAGAGGGAAGAGGAAGAGAGGGCAGAAGGGGGGTTGGATACCATCAAAGCATGATATTTACATGTAAGGAAATTTCACAGTGAAACCCCTTAATTTCTCCAATTAATATGCATTAATTATAATAAAAATAATTACAATTTAAGAATGTACACATAGTAGACAAGACAGTATTGACTTTTTATTTGTTTTACTTTTTAAATTAAAAAAAAATTTCAACCATGAATAAAAAGGAAACAGTAACATCAGCAAGATGGTTGGAATAGGAAGTCCAGCCTTCATGTTCCCACAGAGGTATCAACTTAACCACCATATATGGACCAACATACTTTTATAAGAATTCTAGAATCCAGATAGGCAATCTCAGCACACTATAGAAAAAAAAGACCCAGAACATATGGATTGTAGGAACAGTTTCACTTTATCCAAATCAACCAATTCCTCACACTGGAACAAACACCTCCACACAGAAAGAGAACCACTTTGGCTGCAAATTATCCACAGGGGAAAGAAAAATCAAAGTGTTTATCAATTATCCCCAGCCTTTTGGAGCACTATCCAAAGGATCTGTTTCAGTCTTACCTCACTCAGAGTGTTAAGGGTTCTCATCATAGCTGGAGGGGTCTGGAGGCTGCTAAGAGCAAAGCATGAAGGGTGGTGGCTCTCAGCAAACAGTGTGGCTCTTGTCAAATGACAGGGATTTCAGATGATGGATGGTGTGGATCTCAGGAGTCAGCATAGTTTCCAGCTGACAGTGCAGAGCTTGGCAACTGATCTTTATCTCTGCAGCTAATGTGGGTCTCAGAAGCTGTCACTGATCTTATTGGACAGCATGGCTCCTAATAGTTGGCAAACATCCCAGAAGATAGCACACCTCTCAGCAGGCTGCACGGATCTTAACAGCTAGTACATCTCTCAACAATCAGTGTGACTCTGAGTTGACAGCAAACCATGGCATTCAGCCAGCCCCTCAGCTAATGGCAAGGATCCCTAGAGGCCAGGGTGGCTTTCAGCAAATGGCATGAACCATAACAGCTGGTAACACTACTAGCACCCAGTTTGGCTCAGTAGGATTGAGAGAAAGTGCACAATTCAGAAATTTTTCCATGAGTGAGAATGGAAAGAAAGGGAAGCTATACCATCATTCTCTCATCAGAGTATACTGACCTAGGATAAAGGAGCAGGCAACTGTCAACACCTAAAATAATTTTGTGGGGTTGACAAAAGACATAGAAACCCAAGACTTCTCCAACAGAAGAGATGGAGAAGTGTGAAGCATGAAGACCTATAGCAAAATTTTGAGAGATACCCAGAAATGCTAACAAGGCTGACTGAGGGTGATTTTCCCTGCCAAAGAAAATCTGCAAAAATTGGAAGGAGTGGCTGCATCTACAGAAGGGTAAATACCAATGCAAAGCTAAAAGAAACAAAAAACAATTAGGAAATAAGGAGGCTGAGGCAGGAGGATAGCAAGTTTGAAGCTAGCATTGGAAACTTAGTGAGACCCTGTCTCACAACTAAAAATATAAAGCGGGCTGATGATGTAGTTCAGTGGTAGACCACATTTCTAGCAAGCATGAGGTCCTAGGTTCAATCCCTAGTACCACAAAATCATCATCATTGTCATCGAAATAAGACACTATCAAATGCACAAAATAAGTCTTCAGTAACTGATCTTCAAGATATGGAGATAAATAATTGCCTGGTGAGGAATTCAAAATAATCATCTAAAAGAAGCTAATTGAGCTAAAAGACAACATAGAGAAATGAAATCTTTTTAAAAAACAATACATGAATAAAATGAAAAGTTTAATAAAAGTAAAGAAACCTAAAAGGAATCAGAAAGCTGGGCATGGTGGCACATGCCTATAATCCCAGCTGTTTTAGAGGCTGAGGGAGGAGATTGCAAGTTACCCGGGGCAATTTACCAAGACCCTGCCTTAAAATCAAAAACTACAATGGCTGGAGATGTAACTCAGCGGTAAAACACCCCTGGGTTCAATTCCCAGTGGGGTCGAAGGAGGAAGAATCAAACAAATATTCTTGAAATTATGTATATTTTAATTAAACTGAAAAAGTCAATATAAAGCTTCCAGCAAAATTATCCAGTCAGAGGAGCAAGAAGGAGCAAAAAGACAGGAGTGAACAAAGCCTAAGGAGTTTATGGAATATCAAGCAAACCAATATAGGCGGTATAGTTGTCCTGGAACCAGCAAAAAAAAAAAAAAAGACAAAGAATTTTGAGGACGGTGAGAGAAAAGCAACTCATTACTTACAAAGGAGCAAGCATGAGAGGTTTACTCAGCAGACATCTGGAAACCTCAAGGGGATGGGATGACATACACAAAGCTATAAAAGAAAAAATTATAAAACAAGAACACTATATCTGGAAAATATAAAAGAGAGCTGCGCTCAGTGACATATACCTGTAATCCCAGTGGCTCTGGAGGCTGAGAAGGGAGGATTGTGAGTTCAAAGCCAGCCTCAGCAATGGCCAGGCACTCAGCAACACACTGAGGCCCTGTCTATAAATAAAATACAAAATAGGGCTGGGGATGTGGCTCAGTGCCCCACAGTTCAATCCCGGAAACACACCACCACAACCCAGCAATTTTAAATAAATAAATAAAGAGATCAGTGACCATGGCAACTGACAAACACCACATCTGTGGTTCATGGAAGTCTGGATGGTGGCTGCTTGTGAATCTTCTTGTTTTTGTTTGTTTAGTACTGGGGATTAAATTTAGGGCCTCGATAAATTGCTGAGGCTAGCTTTGAACTCACCATCTTCCTGCCTCAGCCTCCCAAGCCGCTGGGATTATAGGTGTGCACCACTATGCCTGCTCAACCTACTTATTTTTAAGAAGCCCAGGGAGGGCTGGGGATGTGGCTCAAGTGGTAGCGGGCTCACCTGGCATGCGCGGAGTGCCGGGTTGGATAGTTAGCAGCACATACAAATAAAAAAATAAAGATGTTGTGTCCACCGAAAACTAAAATATAAATATTAAAAAAATTCTCTCTCTCTCTCTCTCTCTCTCTCTCTCTCTCTTAAAAAAAAAAAAAAAGAAGAAGAAGAAGAAGAAGCCCAGGGAATGGAGCCAGAACTCACTGTGGTCCAATGTGCCTTCCTAGGTGTCCAAGTGATAGGGTTTATGGCATTAGTGCACAGATTCATCCTGACATGCAAGTTGAACACGACAAACTGGCCCATACCTTGACTGAATACATTAATGAAATCATGAAACATGTGCTCGTTTTTGGAGGGATGTCCTCAATATCATGGGGAATGTGGCCCTCGCACTCTAGACTATGGATGTAACCAACTGAGTGACATGTTATCCTGTGGCAAATTACAATCTGGATACATTTGGGATTTACCATATCAGAGAAGGCCAGGACCTACAGTAAAAGATAAGTAGTAGCCCTTAAGAGTGATCCAAGCAGGGCATAGTGGCATATGTCTGTAATCCCAACGGATTGAGAGGCTGAGGCAGGGGAGGATCACAAATTCAAAGCTAGCCTCAGCAACATAACAAGGCCATAAGCAGCTCAGTGAGACTCTGTCTCTTAAAAAAAAAAAAAAATGGGCTAGGGATGTGGATCTGTGCTTAACTGCCCCTAAATTATTATATTCCCAGTACCAAAAAAAAAAAAAAAAAAGATAGAGAAAGAATGATCCAACTAGGAAAATATATAGGGGTTTAGACAGCTCAGTGGTAGAGCACTTGCCTAGAATTCATAAAGCCCTGGGTTAAATCCCCAACACCACACACACATTCTCAAAAAATAAATGGGTCAAAAAAGAAATCAAAAGGGAAATAAGAAACTATTTTGGGTTGGAGACATAGCTCAATTAGTAGAGTGCTTGCCTCATATGCACAAGGGGTAGGGTTAGGGTTCAATCCCGAGCACCTTAAAAAAAAAAAATGTCTGAAGATGAATGAAAAGGGGGCTGAAGTTGAGGCTCAGTGGTAGAGTGCTTGCCTAGCATGTGTGAGGCACTGAGTGCCTCAGCACCACATATGAATAAATAAATGAATAAATAAATGAAGGTCCATCAACAACTAATAAAAATATTTTATAAAAAATACCACACAAAAACTTATGGGATGCAGCAAAAGAAATTCTAAGGGTGAATTTAATAGTAATAAACACCTACATCAAAAAAGATCTTAAATAAACAACTTAATGTTATACTGCAAGAAACTAGTAAAAGAAGGGCAAATTAAAACAAAAAAAAAAAATTGGGGAGGAAATAACAAAGGTCAGAGCAGAAATAAATCAAAGACACTAAAAAATATATAAAAAATCAGCGAAATCCACAGTAGCTGAACAGTTTTACAATCCTTGAAGATTCTTACCTAGGAAGACTCCAATTTCTCTATATAATTCAACATCTGTTATTTTCTGTTTTAGCCATCATGATGAGTTATATCCCACTGTGGTTTGGGTTTCCATTTCCCTAATAATACTGTTAAGCATCTTTTAATATATTCATTGGCCAACTGTATCTTCTCAAGAGAAAAGTGTATTCAAATACACACTTTCATTGAGCTGTGTTTTTTAAATGAAACTTTAGGAGTTTATCGTCAATATTAACTGTTATCCACTGTCCCCCGCAGCCACCAGAGGCACAGAAAAGGGAACACCAGGAATGGATCCACATGCAGGAGAATCCTAGAGGTTCCCTCACCGTCATTAGTTGGATTGCAGGCATAGCTTCAACAACAAATTTCACAGTGTGAAAACTTAAAAGACTTTTTTTCTTACTTGTTTATTGTTTTAGTACCAGGGATTGAACCAGGGGGTGCTTAACCACTGGCCTACATCCTCAGTCCACTTATAAGTGTTTTAAAATTTTGAGACAGTCTCTAAATTGCTCAAGGACTCGCTAAGATGCTGAAGCTATCTTTCAACTTGCAAGCCTCCTACCTTAGCCTCCCAAGCTGCTGGGGGATTACAGGTGTACACCACCACATCTGGCAAAAGTAAAAGACTTCTTATAATTTACAGTCCCTAGGGGGTACATGACATGCCGAAAAGCCAAACACGCATGCGAGCGCACACACACATGTCAGGGAGAATAGGAAAAGGAAGATCAAGAAAGAATGTAGAGAAAAGGGACCCATGGATTAATGCCTTTATTGAGTTTAGGGCATTATCCAAACAAATCTGCTTGGCAATTTTAATTGGTAGGTTTGAAGTAGGCAGTCACTGTTTCCAGGAGGTTATGCTGTGACAAAAGCATTTATATAAGTTCACAGGTTAATGTCTAAATGTCCTGTTAAAAGGAAGTGATGGAGAAATGGAGAGATGCCCCTAAACTCTTATCTCTGGACACTGCTGCAGGCATGTGGATGGGTTGTAGAAACTGAAAACTGTACCAAGAATGATTGAGCCCTGATGCTACAAGGAGTAATTAAACTTATATTTAAAAAATGGATGCTGGGGCTGGGGTTGTGACTCAGTGGTAGACCGCTTGCCTTGAACGTGTGAGGCACTGGGTTCAATCCTCAGCACCACATAAAATAAAGGTATTATGTCCATCTACAACTAAAAAGAATACTTAAAATTTTTTTTAAAATTAATGTTAATTCAAAATAAAAGTTATAAGTACTCATCACATGCTGTATTTTTATTAAGTTACATGAATTTTTAAAATATATGCTAGATAGCAAGGGGTTATTTCAATGGCAGAGCTTTTGCCTGGCACGTGCTAGCCTAAAGTTTCATTTCATACATATGAGGTGCTGGGTTCAAATCCTATTAACCTAAGTACCTACCTTTAGATGTCAATGTAGGTAATTATATCTTTATAATATTTTCTCCTGCTATATGCGGTGACACATGGCTGTAATCCCAGAGGCTTGGGAGCCAGGAGGATCTCAAGTTCAAAGCCAGCCTGAGCAAAAAAAAAAAAAAAAAAAGTTCTTAGTTTTGAAAATTACCTATGTTGTGGGTTGAATTGTGTATCCTCAAAATTCAAATGCTAAAATCATAATACCCACCTCTTTACAATAAGACTATATTTGAAGGAGGACCTTTAATGAGGTGATTAAAATAAAAAATGAGGTCATTAGGGAGAGCCCTAATCCAATCTGGATGGTGTCCTGAGAAGTGGAGGAAAGTTGGACAGAGAAATTTCAGGAACACATTCTCCTGGCAGAGAAAAGACCATGTAAAGAGGAAATAAAAAGCAGGCCATCTGTAAGACAAGGAGAGGAGCTTTAGAAGAAACCCGTCTTTCCAAAACATTAATCTTGGACTTTCAGATTCCAGAACTGTACAAAACAAAAACAAAAAACAAACTTCCTTTTCTTTGTACCACATAGACTGATAATTTGTTACAACATACCTAGCAAACTAGCACAAACAAGACATCTTTATTTCTTTCTGTCTTTTACTACCTATGCTTTTGGTGTCATATTTAACAACTGTTGACTAATGCCAAGGTCATGCATATTTATATCTACTTCCTTCTCAGAGTTTTACAGCTTTATGTTGTATATTAGGCCTTTGCTCTCTTTTGGAGCTGATTTCTGTAAATGGTGTGTAATGGTGTAACAAAGAGGTCTGAATTCATTCTTTGGCCTTTACCTCTCTTTTTAAGCAGCATTATTTGTTGAAAAGAATACTTCTGGACCCTCAATTCTATTACAATGTCAACACCGCCTTCTTTTGATTATTCTTCATAGTAAATTTTGAGATCAGGAAGAGTGAGACTTCCAACTTCTTTTCAAAATTGTTTTAGGCATTCAGGATACCATGCATTTCCATATGAACTTTAAAATCACCTTTTCCATTTCTGAAAAAAATATGCTGTTTGATATTGATAAGAAATGCAAGAGTAGTATTATTACTATTATTATTTTGCAATACTGGGGATTGAACCCAGGGGTACTTTACCAGCGAGTTATCCCTAGTCCTTTTTTTTTTTTTTTTTTTTTTTGGTACCAGGGATTGAATTTAGGGGCACATGGCCACTGAGCCACATTCCCAGCCTTATTTTTGTATTTTATTTAGAGACAGGGTCTCACTGAGTTGCTTAGTGCCTTGACCTTGCTGAGGCTGGCTTTGAACTCACAATCCTCCTTTCTCAGACTTCCAAACCACTAGGATTACAGGCGTTCTCCACTGCACCTGGCTTACCATTTGTATTCTTGATGATTTCCATTCTAACTGGATAATAAAATACAAAATTGGACTTGGGATGTTGAGTACCCCTGAGTTCAATCCCTGGTACCAAAACAAAAAACAAACAAACAAAAATCCTGTTTCTAAATAAAATATAAAAAAGGGCTGGGAACGTGGCTCAGTGGTTACCAAAAACAAAACAAAAATTACAAGGTCCTTAAGAAATTTTTTTTTTTTTTTTTTTTTTTTTTTTTTGAGAGAATTTTTTAATATTTTTTAGTATTTGGCGGACACAACATCTTTGTTTGTATGTGGTGCTGAGGATCGAACCCGGGCCGCACGCATGCCAGGCGAGCGCGCTACCGCTTGAGCCACATCCCAGCCCCCCTTAAGAAATTTTTATACAACCATCTCAGAGACACAGAAAGGTGAAGTTACTAGCCTGTGGCCACTGTTTTCAGTTAGCATGCATTCAGTAAACATTTATTCAGGGGCCTCTATTTATTGTAGAGGCTTGCTAGAGAGACTGGAGACAGAAAAGTGAACAAAAGAAACAAAAATTGGGCTGGGACTGTGGCTCAGCGGTAGAGCGCTCGGCTAGCACGGGCGGGACCCAGGTTCGATTCTCAGCACCACATAAAAATAAAGGCATTGTGTTGTGTCCATCTACAAAAAAAAAAAGATTCTCTCTCTCTCTCTCCTTTAAAAAAGGAGAGAAAAGAAAGAAAAAAAGAGAAAAAAGAAAGAAAAGAAACAAAAATTCCTGCCCTCAAGTTTATATTCTAGTGGAAGGAAAATAGAGGGAAGAAAAGTAAAATATCTAAATCACCTGATATATGTAAGTGCTGTGAAGAAACAAAGGAGGAAAGGGAAGAAGAATTATTAAAGAAGGGAGGAGTGATTTTTAATCACTCCTCAGAATGGTCTGAGAAGACCCAAGAGATCAGAGGGCATTGAGCTGAGGTATACAGCAGGTAAGGGACAGGTCCCATGGGCCAGGGTGAAGAGGGTCAGACAATAGAAACTGCAAAGGTGTGAGACACGTTTGCCTTGTTTAGGAAACAACATGGAGGCCAAAGAGGCCAGAACATATTGAGCAAAGGGAGGAATAGGAGATGATGTCCCTGGTTGAAGAGGGTGCAGGGAAGAACTTGCAGAACTAAAAAGAACTCAGCTTCTGAGTAGCAGAGTGAGCTAATGTAACTGACTCATGTGGAGCATAGACAGTTCTAGGAAAAGGACAAAACTAGAGACCATTTAGGAGGTGATAGTACTAATCCTGAAGAGAGGTGACATTGTTTGGAACCAGGGTGCTAGATATGGAGCTTGTGAGAAGGGGTCAAATTTGGTTTCCTGGCGCTTATGCGTTCATTTTGACACACCTTATTGCTGAATCATTTTTAAAGAAACAATTTTCAAGGAATATTTTGATTTCCCAGACATGATTAATAATTAGAGTTGTAATTATTATTTACACAACTGGGGCACAGCTCACAATCACTATACCAAGAAAACTAGTAATTATAATAGGCTACATTGGCCTATCAGAAGGAAGGACATTTTAATGGCCTCAGCTTGTTGATTCAGTTAGCCACTGGATAACTAACTGAAGCTTAGTTAACCTGTGGCTAATGGAAGCTGTTAACTCATCAGTAGCAGATCTAGAATTTAAGCTCCAGTCAGCCCTCACACTCCAGAGTACCACCTCAAAAAGTGTTTTTCTACATACATATATTTACAAATAATAGCTTGTAGTAATGAACTTCATTTGTAAAAATGAGCATAATTTCAAAGCAGATTGCCCAACAACAAGGTCTTCAAATATGCATTTCATGGAACATTAATATTCCAAAGATATTTTTATTTCTGAATATTAAGGAAATAAACAGCTTGCCTCTGGTGGAGATTTAGAATGTACACGGGTATAGTGAAGGACCTGAGAAGTTGCACAATAATAAAATATGTTTAACTGGAGCTGAAGCTGTAGATCAATGTACAGCATTTGCCTAGCATGTACAGGGCCCTGGGTTTGATCCCATTACTGCAAAGAAAAAAATATCTGTCCAACATAACCGAGCATAATGACAGAAACTGCTATAATGACAGAATGCTTTAAAAACTGTCTACTATATTAAGAGACACTGGTGCTCAAGACACACAGTTTGGGAAATGCCAAATGGATGTCTAGTAAGATTTAGCTCTACACAAGTTCCCCAGAGGCAATGTAAGGCATTCCTGGGAATTACATGCCCAGGGCAGCAAAAGTAAGAAACAAACAAAAAAAAACAGGGGAAGACTGGATGCCAATATGAAGAGATACTGCACCTAACCTGGTCGCTGATCCATGAACTACAATCAATACAGCCAATCATGTAGCCACATAGGATGTTGGTAAATGGAACAAAAAAATTATCTGCTGATTCCATCTGTGATCTCTCACTGGGAAGCATACCTTCCATGGGTAGACTCACAAATCAGGGTTGTCATCTGGCTTCTTCAAGCAGCTGCTGGTAAAGCAAAATCCCATACCCAGTAGTCAGTAGCCAGGAGCCAGGAGCTTCAGATGCATATGGCAGTAGGTGGAGCCAGAACTGCCAAGGCTACAACTGGATCAGGTCTGGGAAGTGGCACTGCAGAGGTTGTCCCTATAGCAGTTGTGTCATGGTTTGGATATGAAGTTTCAGCTAAAAGATCCCATTAATGCAGGAATATTCAGAAGTAAAATAATTGCATTATGAGAGCTGTCACTGAATCAGTTCCTCTTAGTTTGAATGGACTGACTACACAAGTTCCCCAGGGTAGTAACTGTCAGCAAGTGGGGAGTGGCTGTTCAAGGTGGGCAACTGGAGGCATGCCCTGGAAGGGTGCAACCACTCCACACACTTCTGGACATAATCATAAATCAAGTAGCTTTCCTCCACTGATCCTTCACCCATGATGTGCAGCCTCGTCTTGGTCCCAGAGGCAATGGAACTCTGAAATTTTGAGCCCCAAATAAATGCTCCTGTTTGGTATTCTGGTCACAGTGATGCAAAAGCAGAAAAAAAACCAAAGTGCTATTGAGGCCAGAGTCTGACACCCCAGGGAGGAGACTGCCAGCTGTGTTAGTGCCTGTGGCAGGACCAGTGAGGGGTACCCATGAACAAGCAGTCAAGTGTCTGAGATACAGATGTAGCCAAAAGAGAGGACACCCACATATCCAGGAAATGTAAAAGGGGAGAGGTACAAGGGACAAAATGTACCTAGAAGAGAGATGAAGGGACAGAGCATACCTAGGGAAGGGATGGAGGACAGGTGAAAGGGGACAAAATGTACCTAGGAAGGAAAGTGGGACTGAGATGCTCTGAGATGATTTCCAATGATCATTTTAAACTGGGCTGTTTCCTAGGGGAAAAAAAATGTTTTGTATATAAATAAACAATTTTACAGAAAAAAACCCAGAACTTATACAGGAACAGATTGAAGATTTTATCATGAGAAAGGATTTAACGAGCCGCAGACTGGGGCTGGGGTTGTGGCTCAGCAGTAGAGTGCTCACCTTGCACGTGAGAGACCCTGGGTTTGATCTTCGTCACCACATAAAAATAAATAAGTGAAATAAAAAATATATATATATATAAAATAAAAAAATAAAGTGCCTCAGACTGAGGCCAAAAAATTTGTTAGCCCAGGGAAAGTATGAAGCATGATACCAGTCACCTAGGTTATTCTGACTCAGCATGGCATATTCGGCAACCTCTTTGATGTCATAAAGATAATAAATAAAAAATCATAAAATAAAAAAGCCTTTCCCACTTATGGAAGTTTCTTCCTGAATCTATAACAGAAGTAAGCAATGACAAATCAATCACCTGTGCTATTCTTGTTGATCAATGTAACTGTTTAACAACCCACTTACTAAAACTCCCTTCTTATTCTATTTTTAACCTATAAAACCAGACCCAGATCAGGATGCCATTTTGGAGCACTAAATCTGGGCAACTAAAATACATATTTCCCAGAAGGCCATCCTCATTTTGGTTTGAATAAAATTCCTTGTTCTCACATTTGGTGTGCCTCCCTGAAAAAAAGTGTTAAGGACTCCATATTTCTCTTTACCTGACCCATGTATTTTTTCTCTGACCTTTGTATTCTCCTATAATACATTCACATAACACTTCTGACACTAAAATGGGTAGGTTTCCCCACCATAGCAAACAATTCTCCAACTTTATGGACACAAACTGAGTGTCCTACAAGTCAGATCTGACACTACCTGGAGTTAGCACAGACCCCACAAGTTAAGGCCTCAGCCCCAATAATATTTCCCTCGATTTAGAAACCACTCACAAATAGTGGGTCCCCAAGTACCACACTTGTCTGATGTTGCAACAAATTGAGGGTTCCCACAACCCTCTCATGGGTTTGGTAATCTGCTAGGATTCACAAGACTGAAGAAAACACTTCACGTAAGTTTACTAGTTTTTATAAAGGGTATAACAGATACAGAAATAAACAGCCAAATGAAGAGGTACACAGGGTAAACTTCAGAAGGGTCCCAAGCGCAGGAGCTTCTGTCCTTGTCCAAGTGGGGTACACCATCTTCCTGGCACATCAATGTTTTTTGCCATCAAAGCTCTCAGAATTCCATCATTTAGGGATCTTTATGGTAGCATCATCTTGACATCATGGATTACTAACTCAATCTCCAGCTCCTCTCCACTTCTTGGAGCAGGGTGGAGTGTGGGGGAGGTGAGAGAACAGCTAAAAGTTGGAAGGAAGCATCTATTCATGCCTTTGTCTTTGTGATCAAATCCTATTCTAAAGCTGTTCAGGAGTCCACCAAGAATCATTTCATTAGAAGCTCAAAAAAAATGGTCCTATCACCAGGAAATTTGCGGGGATTTGAGAGCTTTGTATCAGGAGACAAAAGATGCATGACTAGCATTCAGGGCATAACAAAAGTTTTAGGAGCCTCAAACAAGGACCTGAGAAGATAAATATATATTTATTTATTTTAGGTGAGCTGGTCCCTATGGACATATGGGAAAGTACAATAATCAAACAGATAAGCCACCTCCAAATCCACTTGGAGGAAGTCTACCTTCAGACTGAAATGCTTTGAATGGAATTTAGATAGTAATGTTCAATTCCAAAGGGTCTGGGTATACTTGACTTTATCTTCTTGAACTTTTTCTTCCAACATCACATCTATACCAATTTGATTGGGGTCTGTAGCATTGTC